CAAGTGTAGTTGAAAACTGAAGGCAGCAGGTTAAACTGGAGATTAAGGGTATCATAACAAAGAGGTCTAAATAATTCCACACATTTAATTACCATTGCCTATTACATAAAATGCTTAGAAGCTTGTGGTTGTAATTTGATAAGATGTGGAAATCTTGAAGGGGTGGGGAGCCTTTAGCAAGGAGCTGCATTTAAAAAAAGGTGTGATAAGTACAGAGGAGGTGCAGCTGGTAATAAAAGCTAAGTGTTACTGAAAGCGGCACACATGAGCTGGAAATTAGCTGCTCACTTTATTATTCTGTCCATTTGACTGTTCAGATTTACTAATCTTGTCTGTGTGTGTGAGTGTGTATAATTGTTTATGTTACCTATTTAGGACCAATTTTGGTATATCTATTAACCCTCTGAGGACCAACAGGCCTTATGGGGACCAAAGGCTCGTCCTAATATGGAGGACTCCCATTTTTAACCTCAGTTTAGAGGTAATGTGTGAATTCAATTTAGGTTTAAGTTAGGGTATATGTCAGGTTTATATAAAAATGTGAAAAATAAAATAGGTTTAAGTCAATTTAAAGTCTTAATATGGATAGAAATACAAAGATGGGTGTGTGTTCTTTGAATTTGGGTTAGGTTCAGGACTAAGGTGTGAATTCAGTTTAGGTTAGGGTTAGGTAGAGTTTTGTAATGGCTAGTGTTAGATATTTAGGGCTAAGGTGGGAATTGGGTTAGGGTTAGATTGATATAGGTAGATGCATTGGTAATGGTTAGGTTTAGGATTAATTTTAGAGCATAGAAAGAGTTGAAAATGACTGAACATCAATGGCAGTCATTGAGAGTCAACACATGGTCCTCACTACATATAGCAGAACAAGTTTGTTTGTTTGTGTGTGTGTGTACCCACGCTGAGGTGATGGCCCTGTAGCGCTCCAGCCCAGCTGTGTCCCAGATTTGGGCTTTGATGGTGAAGTTTTCCAGCTGAACAGTCCGTGTGCTGAACTCCACACCGATGGTGGTGCGGCTGTCGTGAAGGAACTCATTCTTGGTGAAGCGGGACAGAAGGTTGCTTTTTCCCACACCGGACTCCCCTATCAGAACCACTACACAGTATGCAATGAAGTTCCTATTAGCTTATTTTAGGATTAATTGAAGACATTTATATAACCGTATGTTTCCTGAAACCAAAATGGATCAGATAGCCTTTATCTAATCTTACATTTGCAGACTTTCTGTCACACTCACTGGATGCCTGACAGTGTGACATCACACCAACGTGGCACATCTACACTGAGTGTGACTTCAGTCTGGAATAAGGGAAGTAGAAAATCACTGCTGCTCTCAGAAGAAATACTAGGATACACTGCATATAATCATCTTGGTTACATGGGTAGTATAAGAACACATTTATCCAGAAGGTCAAAGGTCATATAGATTATGTAAATACACATCCAGTATTCACTTCCTTATTTCTCTGCTCCATTTTCTTTCTTAGAAAAAGCAGCAGCAGCATTCAGCTAAACTCTGCTCTACCTTCAGAGGTTATCTGTAATTCTCTTCTTTTATTATTATAACTGAAGTAAAAATGGCTTACCTTTAAAGACAAAGTTGTAAGAATCATCAGAGCCCATGCTGCATTCAGTGGCGATGGGTCACTCTTCCTCCTGATAAATATCCAGAAGCCACTTTGGGAATATATAGGATATATTAAAAAAGAAAACAGAAAGCGAAAGTATTCTCTCGGATTTAATATAAAAGCAGGGAAAAAAATCTAAGAAATAAAAGCAATCTCTGTTCTTTATTCAAGCAGCTCCCATTTGAAGACTGAAAAAGCAGGACTCCTGATTGCTCATCAGCTGACACCCAAAGGAGGGCCGGGAGGAAGGAGAGCAGGTGGAACAGGTAGAACCGCTCGCAGAAACAGACTCCACCCTCTGCTGCACTCCCAGACTCATTTGTATGACAATAAACCTCACCCTGCAGGTGGATGTGTGTGAGTTGGGACACGTCACCCTTTGACCGCCGGTCTCGTGTTTACTAGGCCGGAAGAACAGCTCGGTTTGACCTGATGCTCCCATTTCCATGTTCTTATTATAACGCAAGCTATTTTATGGTTAACAAATTAATGCTTATTATGATGTATCAGGCTTTCATTTATGTAAAGAGGGACTCGGCCTTAATTTTACTGTATTTTTACAACCAAGTTTTTTTGAGCAAATATATGGTCATCATATGCTTGAAGGTCATTAATTTTTGGCTTTTAATCACTTATTTAAACAATAGTTTAAGGAATAACAAAACCAAAACTCATATATTTATGAATTAAGAATCAGATTAATGGGAGATTTTCTCTTGTCCTCCCACAGCATAATGGATTCAGATTAAAATACTTACAAACATGTACTTTATGCATCCTCATTTTGTTAACATTTTCTTTCAAAAGTTGAAGAAAAACCACAGTTATCTGTAGCGATTAATACATTTTCTAGAATAACTCTCTTTGATGTACAACATGCAAGAACTCTTTCTTTAAATCTAGCTCCATCCAACTTTCCACAGGATCAAAATCAGGGCTATCACAGAAGCCTGCCTTTTCCAGTACAATCCAGATCTGATGGTTTTTTTGTTTTTTTTCCAGGATCAGCATTCTTTCCATCTAGTTGCATATTTGGGTAGGGATTTGATAAATCTTAAGGTAGTTCTCTATAATTCTATCCACCTTGTGTAAGGCCGTCCCATGCCATTTATTAGACGTAGATCTCATTAAGTTTTTATTATAGGCATTGCCTATAAACATCTGTTCTGGTTTGAGATATGCTGCACAGACTGGTTAAGTGGGAGTTTACTTTATAGATAAGCCGGGTTTTAAATTTTTTATAATAACTTTTCACAATTTGTCCAAGTCAAATGTGGGAAATTGTTTTGAGTGGAACTGACAGAAGTGAAAGTAATATCTATCTAATTAGAGCCTCTTTCTACGCAGTCAGTGCGACATGGAAAAAAATCGTATCTGAGATTAAAGTCGTACGCAACCAGTGTGTTCTGGCCTTTAGCTAACAAAAACTACCAAAGCATAATGGTGCCATCACAACGCTAGAAAATAGTGAGTTTATGGGTTCAAAAGCTAGGCATCGACCAGCACTGTGGCCAAAGATCATCTTTGTCTCACCTGAATGCATAACATGTAATCTGGAAACAAATCTTTATGTTAAAGGGATTTCTTAAAACCTTTTCTAACACAAATATGCAACTTACTACTGGCAATCAATTGTGTTGTGTTAGTTTTAAATAAGGTATTACTACTTCATTGTAGTTATAAATCTAACTAATTCATGCTTAAAAGTTAGTTCCATATACTGAAAATAAAACCAAAGGCTAATAAAGCTTCCATATCTGGTTAGAAGAGTGACCAAACTTCCTGCCAGTGTTATGCTATGATCCCAATCTGCAAACTGCTAGGGGACATTTTTTATTTTTTTTTTGGCATGTATGCAAATCTGCGTCCATATGGACCGGAGAAAATGCACAATAGATTTAAATGTGTGCAACCAATTTTTGTTTTTATTTAAAGTAATTATAACAAGAGGGAAAAAAAACAACTATAAAGAAATTCAAGTTTATATTAAGTACTAAATTTTTGTTTCTGTACTTTCTTGAAGTAATTGTGAATTATCAACAATCCCATTTTTTGGGGGGGAAGCATGTTTTAAATAATACATACCAGTGTTAAAGATAAGACATGATTTAATGAAATTAGTTTTATTAAACAGTTTTAAGGTTAATTGTTTGACACTTGTCTAAAGTCAGATTTATGGACATTCATAACTGTGAAGGGTTTCCCATCATGCTTGGAAGTGGATGTTTCCCTGACTTTCTAGAACTTAAAAAAAAAATCATAGCAGTTCTACTTTTAAAACAGTAAAATGTGTTTCAAAAATCTAATCTTTATTTTTTGTTTTTACATTGATAAAAAAATCAAAACTGACCTGCAATTCTTACACAAAAACATGCTTTGATTATATCTTTAGTTCTGTTGTACTGCAGCAGCATGAACCTCCAAAACCAGTCAAATGTCTTGGAGCTCCAAACAGCTTTTCTTCCAGAATTGGTCAGTGTTTAGGTCCCTCCAACCTCAACCTGGCTGGAAAAAATGCACCTCTTAAACACAGTACTGCCACCACCGTGCTTCACTGTGGGACAGCGTTGTTAACGGGTTGTGATGGAAGTTTTTTTTGAGTGTGTGTGCAAACTTCATAACAAGGATTCTTTTAGTTTTGTTTCAACATTAGCTTTCCTCCTGCCACACTCTCATATTGGAAATATACTGGCTGCCGTAGTAGCAGATCTCTAAATCTCTTCCATTGTTACGTTGGACTCATTAGCTGCTTTTCTGATTTCCATTTTCAGTCAAAGGATTGTTAAAATCTCTGTTCAAAGCTTGAAATATTGTTTCAGAACTGCGTCCAACTGAGTTCCTCGTGTTGGAACTCAGCTAGATGCTGAGTTCTAAGGGAAGTGGTGGCCTAGCGGTAAGAGCGTTGCACTTGGGTCTCAGAGGTTCTGAGTTCAAGTCCCACATGCCACTCTGAGTCCCTGTCTAAAGTCAGATTTATGGACTGGGATGAGTTAATAGTGCATGATGGATTTCATTGCTCTGTACTGTGACAGTGTAAGGACAAAAGTTTAAAAAGAAAAGATTAACTTTATACATTAGGCGACATCTGATGAAAATTAAAAATTTAAGACCTAAAGTAGATTTCTTTGACCCTTGATATTTATAAACACTTGCTCTTCATTCTACTTTCCAACTATTACATGAGGTTTTTAGTCTTTCACATAAAACACATTGAAGTTTGAGGTTTTAATATTACAAAACGTAAAAAAAAGCCTGAATATGTTTTTTAAGGCTCAGCATCCGGATGTGGATAGAAAATTTTAATTAATGTCCATACTTCTGCAGGCAGTGAAGACAGCCAGATTACTTACCGTTATATATCAAAAACAAAGTACAAGGCAAATATAATCTTTTATTTCACAAACAACATTGCAGAACCTTTAAACCTGTAGGCCATCACCACTCTGTAATCAAAATGACACAGGGGCTAACGGTTTTTGACCATGATTTATTACTTTTTTTTAGTACAGTACTGTTAAAAGTTAGTTCCAACATTATCAACTGGGAGATGGATTTCTTTATTTTAATTCAGCTGAGGTCAACAGACAAAGCAAAGCTATTGAAGCAGTTGCCAAGTTCACCACAACTACAAATGCTGAGAATTTCAAAAAGGAAAAAAAAAAAAAATGTAGTAATAAAAATAATAACAACCTAGATTTTTTTTGATTGGAGCAAAGAACGGTTCCACCATATGAACAGTTATCTTAAAGCCTTTCCATTATGTCATATTTTGACTCAGGTGATTTCCACATGTAATTTATGTGAAATAAATCAAGATCATATCTAGGTACTAACTGCATCTCAAACAGAATGAGATAACAGAAGGATTAATCAAATTTTAATCCAAATAAAAAGGATGGTTTGACAGCAGCCTGTGCTTCAGGGATGCTGATGTGAAAAAAAAATAGGGTTCCAGTTTGGAATGAGAGTTTAATCGGAGATGGAGAAAGTCTCATTTCCCAACTGAATGAAGCTGGTATTTCCCAAGAATGAGCTCACTGGTTGGAGCGGGACAACGGGACAAGCAATGGCGGACTCAGGGAGCTGGGTGCAATTTTTAAAAGACACTGCGATTACATCTGGGCACTTTGATCCGGAGAGACAAATTAAAAGTTTTTGAGGATGAAAATGTGGAAGGCGCTTGCAATAAATAGTGAAAGCGGTTGGGCAAAACCAGCTGTGTGTGGAGATTGTTGAGAAGATGGAGGGAAGGAGGCCAGGAAGTCTGAAAGCCTGATGACTTTCAGGATTACGGCCTATAGACCAGAAGACTATACCAACCTGCCTCTTAGGAACGACACAAAGCCAACCGCCTGTCATGTCGCACGTGTTGCATCTGTTTAATGTAAATGTTTGCCTACAGAGTGCTACTTTAGATTGTTGTGAAGGAAAAAATAAATGAAAGAAAAGAAAAAACAAATGGTCGGGAGTCCCTTTCACCTTCACATCAGTACACCCTCTGAGGACAGAGTGGTTCAGTCCGACCCCTACAGCAGAACTTTTCGGGTGAAGCTGGTTGAATGTTGCTGAACATGAAAAGCGAAGGGGGTGGGGGGAGGGAATGATCTTAGAACAGATGAAGAATGAGGGTCTTTCAGTTCTTGCCCAAATTTCTCCTGCAACATTTGGGACAATACACATACATTTCTGTTGGTTCTCTCTGGATTTTGGGTGTGTTACGTGTTATTCGTGTGTTTGTGAGGATGTCTGCATGTCATTATGGTACTGTATGTTTACGAGGGCTGTGAACCCAGCAGTCTCTCGATAGCGGCATTGATGTCTCCTCCAGTAGCAATGAGGGCCTGCAGGTTTGCCTCACGGTTGATGAAGCCCATGGCGTTCAGCTGGTCGAGCTGGGTCTGGAACCGCACCTCTGGGGTTTGGGTCTAAAGGAAAACAGTCCATAAAGATTTTAATATAACCAACAACATTTCCTGTACCACAACACAATTGTTTTTTCTGTGGTTGTGTACCGTTGCGCTTCCTCCTCCACCTCCTCCAGCAAACATCTGGAGCATCTGTTGCATCAGCTGCTGCTGAGCAGGGTTTGTTGCAGCACTGCTGGGGGGAGAGGCAGGGTTCTCTGCGGGAACAGCGCCTGCTGTGGGCACTCCTGGAATTCCACCTGTCATCAAACTGGGTCAAAAGAAAAAAAATTATTAAATGAAAAGCCTTTATTTAAAATGTGTATTTGTGCAGGAAAAGAGAAGGCACACCTGGGCATAAGGCCTGGGGCTTCTGTCTGCAGCGTCTGAAGGCCCTGCTGGATCTGCATTAGAGCTTGCATGGCCCGGGGATTGGTCATAACTGAAAGGGCTTCAGGGTTCTGCATCTGAAAAACAGGCACATTTCAGCAGTTTGACCTATAAGACTAAAAAAACAGCTAGATATGGGAAGGGTTTGTTAACATTGTAATATCTTATCCCACTCAGAGACAACCTATCAAATTACATTATTCTGGATCAACAACTGAAACTAAAAGACTTGGTTTATATTTCTATTAACAAAACAAATAAAAAAGATAAATATTTGTATTTCTAAGATTTTTTTTTCTATTTCTTCTATGAAACCATTATTTACATTAGTTACAGAAGAAAAACTTAATTGATATGGAGTATAATTGAAACTTACTTAGAAATAAAACATTCTTAGTCGGCTTAAAAACTTAATGAAATTCAGCCTCATAGCAAAACTGTGTTAAAAGTTGGCTTTCAATTAAGGTGGTAGAAGATGGTAAAAAGAAATGATTTCATTTTCCTAAACAAACAGGAATAAGTTAGTTTAAGGAGCGGCGCAATCAAATTCCTAAGCTGGGAAGGTTGTGATTGAAGAGGGAATGAAAGAAGGAAAAGAAAAAAAAAATTATACCTGCTGCAGAAAAACGGGAAGCTGAGCTCTAAACTGTTCCTGCAGCTGTGGGTTTCCAGCAAACAATGGATTATTCATCATTACCTGGATGAGAGAAAAAATATAAGGCATAAATCATGTGGCTGAGTTAGCAGTCTACACTGCCTGAACAGAAATGTTAAATGTTACAGGTTATGTTGGATCGCAAAGAATTTAAACCAGTATAAATATAGGGGAAAAAATGGAGAAAGACACATTTGTACCCAAAAGAATGAAAAGTTAATAATGTGCACACATGCATGTGTGTAAATACATCCTTCAGATTCTCACCTGTGAGGCTAACTCTGGGTTTTGAGCCAGTGACTGCATCATGCTGCGCATGTACGGGGCAGATAGCATATTCTGCATCAGCTGAGGGTTTTCCGAGATCTGTTGAAGTAGACTTTGCATTCCTGGACTGTTGAACATGCCTGCAGTACAAATGGGAACAGCTTCACAAGTGGACAAATCCAAACAAGGATGTAACGACACACCAAGCTCAGCAGATGAAAAACAGGAAAAATCCAAAACTGGATTCACAGGAATTACAGGATATCCTGCTTTAATCACCCTTCAACTGAAAGCTTTAAAACTAAAAACTATTACAAATAACCTGTGGTGAATTTAGCAGATTAAATTTTGTGTCTATGAGTTTCCATGTATTATTTTGATAAAGTCCCAATGCCTAATATAGAGGTACCCATTTTTTGTATAAATTTTCACAAATAAAATAAAGATTTCAAAGATCCCAACCTGTGCTTAAAAATGTAAGCAGTTTAGCTCTGGTGTGTTTCTAAATAATGTGCAGTAAATAAATCCCAGTCACTTTAAATAGCTGTTAAAGACACCTTTGAGTTTTGCATCTATAGAAAGCTGAAAAGGAAATGTTAGGGTGGCAGTAGCTCCTTACTGCTTTATTAATCAACTAAGTAATTATAACACAGTAACAACAAGAACTACTTCATCTCCTACTTTAAAAGAAAAGTCTCTAACATTAACATATAAGTTTGCGGTTAAAGAAAGCACTTGCAGGTATGGGAATCATGAAATTAGTTTACACTTCTGTCTCCAGACAAAGTCAAAAACCAATAGTAACCTGATGGCACTTTTAGAAAGGTGAAAAAGGTGAAATATTGGGAGGGTTTAATTATCTAAATAAGTCAGATGCGTTATGTTGAAATAAAACACTAGCAAACTTCTCCAGCTCACCATTTCCAAGGCTCCCAGGATTGATGCCGAGAGGGTTGGACACACTCGGGTTGGTGGTCCCCGAAGTACTGGTGCTTCCTGTGGTCCCCCCTCCGCTCTCAGATGGGTTTGAAGAATTTGGGGGCCCCCATGGATTAGGTAGGGGCTCTCGGTTCTCTGTCCGCGACGGTTGAGCGCCAGACTCAGAGGATCCACCGAGAGCTGAGAACGGGTTGTTTCCAAACTACAGGAAAATGGTTTCATTGTTACACAGGTTTTCACAAACTTCAACTAATAACAGACTGTTTCAGTTAACCTCCTTGATTGTGCAACAAACTTGGCTAATAAAGCTGGTTCTGAAAACAGATCAAAGTCCTGGCTGACTCAGTGATCTGTAATATTTCCTCACAGATACCTGCTCTCTTGCTGCGCTGAACATGGGCTCCTGGATGTCTGTGTACATCCTCCTCAATGCATTGTAACCTCCTGGAATGCTCTCCAGGTTGCTCAATGCGCGGTCCTGGTTTCGCATCATTTCTTGCATCATGGCTGGGTTTCTGGCAAGCTCCATGGTCTGGGAGGCAGGATTAAAAGGGAAGGAAAGAATAGCAGACAGAGGCTTTATGAGAAATACTAGACCAAATGTTTATTATGATCGTTATCAGATTGAAGCATCAGAATTTTCCCCAGCTCTTAAAGCTTCATTTTTCTTCACCTGTCGCATGAGTTCAGGATTATTAAGCATATGGGATATCTCAGGGTTGCGCTCCATCAGCTGCTGCATCTGTGGGTTGGCCATGATCATCTGCCTCATCAGGTCGGGGTTGGACATCATGTTCTGTACCAACGGGTTCTCCATGATCTGAGAGAGCATCTCTGGGTTGGACATGAGCTGCCTCTGCATCTGCTGCTGCAGCTCCATGAAATTAGCCGAGCCCATACCCAGACCAGATAGACCGGCCAGGTCGCCAAAGCCACCTGGAAAGGGTAAACGTTGGTTAGGTATTGAATATTGCCCAGTAGAGTGTTTTTATAAGTAATAAACAGGCTGACTCACTCATTATATTAGGCGTCTGTGTAGGTGCAGGACCTGACCCGGTGGGGCCTGCTGTGGAGGCAGGGTTGGCGGTTGGACTAGAGGTGGAGCTGCTACCTACCTGAGTGGAGGCTGAACTAGAGGCTGAGGTGCTACCGCCATCTGCTGTCCTAAAGAGAAAATTTTAGGGTCACATGAAAAAAGGTTAAAGCAACGGCAATAAATTAAATACAAGCCTAAAAAAAATGTCTACAAAACTGCGTCCATACTTGTGTGCCGTTTTAATGACGAGGTGTACTGTCAGGCCATCTTTGATGCCATGCTGGCTCAGACTATCGCCGTCCTTCAAGATCTTCCCTGCAAAAATCAAAACCAGCTGGTCCTGTTTGGCTTTGAATCGCTTTGAGATCTCCTCTTTAAACTGGAAGACAGCAAATACAAAAACAAGACAAAAAAACCATTAAGGCTTTAGAATGAAGTGACAGTAAGATCATTAAAATAGCTCTCCAGTTAAGCTGTTTAGTGTTTTTAATGACGAACAGAAAGGGCTAATTGTTAAAAAAAGAGACACGTAAAAATCCCTTTAGACGGTTGCTATGATTTAAGATATTTCCAAATTCCAACAGTGATCAGTATTTACATGGATTAAAGTCTCCTACAATTGTTTGCTGCTCATTGAGTCACCTGGCTAACAGATGGCTCACAGTCTTCTAGACGCCCATCATTACGAGTTCAATTCATGAACTTTATAGCTACATGACAAGAAATGTAATAAAGCTTTTCTGGTTTTATCTTTAAAATTAAGACATTTCATTTTATTATATACATCAAAAATAATGCATTTGTAAAACAGTCTCAATGTAGTGTCCGATTAAAGAAAAGTTGTGTCTCATTTTCCAGTTTTGATCACTTTTTTCTGTTCAAATAGATTGGGCTTTGGATAAATTTTATCCAAAGCCCAATCTTCTGTTTCCATTTAAGTAATGAAACAAGTTCTGAATATCAAGAATTAATTTTATAACACAAAACGAAACAGAAATTGGGATGTAATAAAAAAAAAAAAAAAAGATGCAAACACTAAAACCACAGAAAATCAGCAGTGAAACGCTTTGGTGACATCTTGTGGGGGATAATAGTAACACACCATCACATTTTTATATTTACCAGTGAGCGACACTGGAGGCTGAGGCATATATTACATGTTCCCCACAGATATTAAGGAAAACATATCTAAGCTATAAGTATTTATTGCAGGGAAACAATTGATTTAAACTTAAAAAAAAAAAAAACATTTTCTGTTTCTGTTTCCATCTGACTGAAACCCTTTGAAGTGGACCCATCTAAACCATACCACGGGAAGTAACTAGAACAAATTCATCATGTGATTAGGTCTTAATATTCAGACCATAGAGACTAACCACAACATCAGCATGATTACCTTAAAAGTTTGATCCATTTGGCAACAAGAAAGTTGATCCAAAGAGTATCTGGATATGACTGTTCTCAGGCTTTAGCAATAGCAAGTTAAATATGATTAACAACTATAAGAAAGGGAAGTCTTTAGTTTAAAAAAAGTTTTTTAATGCTCCTTTTTAATGGTTATAAAATACAATGCAAAAAATAAAGATTAAAAGCGTAATAGGGGTTAAAAAACAATATATTAAAAACGCAGTTGAATAATAATAGGCCCTTAAAAACAACAGGTACTACAAACAGACCCAATGTATGACCTTATCAGACTGATGTTATTATAGAGAGATAAGGATATAGTTTCTTTCAAAGAAGAGCCCCAGTTAATCTAGATTTATATTAAGGGCATTTATTTATTTATTATAATTTTTACAGTGGTGTCCTAATGTTGCACCCCAGCATTTAGAGCAAGAGGCTCAGGTCTGGACTTTGACTAACGGATTGCAACATCTTTATACTTTTCTTTTTCAGCCATTACGCTGCAGTTTTGCTGTTAGTGTGCTTGGGTTCGTTGTCCTTTTCCATGACTTGATCTCAGGCCAATTCCACCTGTCATCCCTGGGCATTCAGACCACAGAGGTAGTGGATAATGGCCAATGCAGTGACTGCAAGGAGTTTAGCCTTTAATGGAATGAAACAAGCCCCTGGATCATGTTAAACTCTTTTAATGAGCTGGGTGTGCTGTCTGTCCAAACAACATTTAACAACTATTCTTAATACTTTTCAGATGCAACTTGCAAACCAATTATTCTATGCAGTTAGATCTTCATCCAATGACTGAAAGCTGATCAACACCTTTGTTGTCTGGTAACTGTCAAAAAAATAAATTGTTTAAAGTTGCCTATTTACAAGTACATGGCTTTTTTTTTTTTAAATCAAGCTTTTCTGAAGACAGTTTGTGCTTCACTCTGTTTGAATTTTCAAAGCATTTTGTTTTCACATACAGTGTTCACACAAAATATAATACAGTACATACATTCAGAAGGACAATGTAAACCTGTGAAATTGTGTAATAGTTCCAACAGACAGCCACTGTGGGTCTCTGAGCAAGACCCTTAACCCCCGATTGCTCCCCGGGCGCCCCACGATGGCAGCCCACTGCTCCCCAAGGGGAAGGGTTAAATGCAAAGGTAAATTTCTCCAATGTGAGATCAATAACATTACGTTTTTTATTTATTTATTATTATTCCAGCTGTCAAACTGTATAAGTTAAACTAATTATTTATGATAAAATTGGGTTAAAAAAATCACAATGTGTTTTAGTTCTTTATTTCTATCTGCAAAGTTTGTGTACATAAAAAAGCTACCAGGTAAATACAGAGCAATGTGGGTCTTAAAAAAAAAACCATATAAAATAAAAACATTAATTGTGGCAAATTGGAACTCAATATAGAAAAGTTGGATCAATCTCTTTCCTAACAACCCATTTGATGGCTGTTCCAGGGATTTTGGAGAATAGAAAGCATTTGTTGTTTGTAATTTGTTAAATAAAATCTACTATATTTAATGGTATTCTCCAATCTCTAATTTCTCTAATAAGTATTAAATCTTGCTTTCACTTTGGTCTTCATACCCTAAAATTTACTAAATTTCTCTATGTTTACGATGCAAAACACGACAGCTGATGTGGAGTCTTCAGCAACAGGTGGGGAAGGGTTGGCTCTGCAGATTGAGAAAGCTGCAGTCTGATATTTGTTTTCTATTGGATACCAAATTTTAGGAGCAGGATGATGGCAAAATGTATTGGTTGTAAAAACAAAGCTTTTAAAGACCTTCACAGCCATGCTCTGAGGTTTAAGTCAATCTAAAAGTTTCTAAAACTGGTAAAATATGTTTCATTTAGATATAATGTTTGTAAGAGGACCTTCTTAAAGACAGCATTTTTTTTTTTTTTCAGTAAAGTATGTTATTAGAGCTAAATGGAAATTAAAGTGGCATGCCTATACTTTAGGAAGTCCTTTCTGACAGTCACCCTATTGTCAAAAGCCATTTAATTTAAACAGTGTTTGTGATATTATATTGATTTAATAGTAAATATATAGAATAGTTAAAAAAATATATATATATATAATAAAAAGCATATGAAATACCCGAAATGTAGCAGATGGTATTATCTATTATTAACTAAGAAGCTGCACTAATAAGCCGCGCTGAGTAACCTGCTTTGGATGTGATAACATTAAAGCTCCCTGTGTTTCCAGCTGGGGCCGTCACCAAGCCAACAGCAGCACTGAGAATACTAGAAATCCCCAAGAAGCCTGAATGACTCAGGAGCAGCAATGAGAATGTTCTAGACTCAAAGCCAGTTTGGACTTTATAATGAGGTTATGAAGCTAAAGTAGGAAATGAAAGCGATACACAATTGATCAGCTATCTGTAAGCACTTCCATGGTTCTGTCTGAGTGTTACGGCTTCTAACAGTTAGCACCGTAAAGCGCACCCGTCAGCTGACACTTGTTTAGCTACATAGTAGGTCCGAATAACAAGCTAACTTAGCTCCCCAGCTAGCTGTTAACTGGCTAACCGGTTAGCAATTTCCGAATCTTGGCGCCGTTATTTCAAAGAGATAATCACACAAACAACGTAACCAACCAAATGGCAGTCTAATTAATAATATATTGATTCTAATTAGCCGTTTTTATATTAGACAGTCCCAGTTAGCCGGTAAGACTGGTGACACATGCTAACGGTTTAGCTTTGTAGCCGAAGTTGTGGGCATGACGTTAGAGCGAAGCGGTGAACAGCATCCGACCAACCTGAGTGACAGAGGCGTCCTCTGCGATGGCGATCTCTTCCTTGTCCTTAGGTGTTTTCACTGTGACCTTAATAATCGTCCCCTCTGAGGCTTCGGGTTTATTATTATTGTTGTTGTTAACAGGATCTGCGGCGCCTTGCTCAGCCATCTTTACTCCGCCGATGGATCAGCTCGGGTCTAATGTTTGCTTCCGGTTCAAACCAAGTCCAACCAGGTTCAACCGATTTTTTTTTTCTATTTTTTTCTTTTTACTCCCCCGGTCGATCCAAGTAGTTCCTGTAGGATGTCATCTTTGAAATGTTTGCAAAATAAATTGTTAAAATATATTAAATTGTTCTAACAAAAAATATAAGTTGACACAGTGTAAGCCATTGTATGAGCTATACGCTGTTTTTAAAAGGGCTACATTTAATAATTTTCTAAATGAACCGACTGAAAACATTTTCTTACAAAAAATTAAAATAATAATACAAAAATAAAAAATAAATCACTTTTTGATCTCTCTGTTTGGAATATTACAAATAAAAATGTTATAACAGTGCCAAGCCTCCTTTTTCCTAATAATTGTGACATATTGTTGCCAAGATTTTTTTAAATCAATATAATTTACCTAACCTACCCAAAATCAGTGAGGATTGGAGATTTATTGTTCATTTTATCTTTGATTTGACTCGATTTTTTTGTCTGTATGTATTAAATCTTTTTTATTTTGTACTGCAAAGCGTCCATCTTTTCAGAGTATATCTTTGTCTGCATTTTTTGCACTCAGACAGTTTTTTCCATTTATAGTCATTTTTTCAGGCTTAACATATGTTTTCATTAGGTTTTTCCATAATTATCATACATGTAATCTTTTTATGCATTGTTTTTTGCTGCTTTTAACCTCTTCTTTCTGTTTTCCCTTTAATTGAAAATGTTTCTCATTCCCCTCAGTATTAAGCCCATAGAAATTAGCCTTGTGTCAGTGGTTCTTTGTTTAGAATTCTATAAAGTGAACTAAATGATATTTCTATTCTTTTTTTTTCTTTTTAGATAATTAATTGGTAGCTTAAAGTATTTATTAGAGTAAAATTAATGTTTTTAGCTTTGAACCCTCCTGTGTTGCCCCCATTCCACAGGGCATTCACTTTTTATGTGACTCCCCTTTGGAGCAGACCTGAAAGAAAAGTGTTTATTTCAGCAAATTGCATTGACACTGTTAGTCCTGCATATCTATGCACATCCCCAGCTCTGGAATATACCATTTAAAAACAAACAAATGTCCCCATCTCCAAAAAAGGTTCAAGAACCGCTGAATTACCCCTTCACTAAGGCCCCGTTAGGGATTCACTAACATGCACAGGTCACATGCACTGTAGGGTTCTCATTCAAGTACAGCCATCACCAGTGCTGGCGCTAAAAGCTTTTGCCTCCATCAACAAAAGAATAAAAGAGAATAACCCTTTTGCTTGTTAAACTCTCTTCTCGTACCTCCCTCCCAACGAGAGCAAGAGCCCTCTCTGTTTTTCATTCTTTACCTCTGCAAGGTGGGACGTCGAGAGAGAGAAAAGTTTCCAGAAGCAAGGTAAGGGAGTGTTTCTGAGTGTGATTCCAACAACCATATCTGAGCAGGATTGGACAGAGGATGGCAGAATAAGATTTAACCTGAAAGTACTGATATATGACAACAAACAGGATTAGGATACAGTGCCATAAAAGTGGCTTTTAAGCAAGTTTGGTTTAGCTTGGTTTAGTCCTGTTCATCTTTTGGAGCAATGTCTTCGATTAAGCAGAGGTAAAAATAGTTTCTGATGATTTAGTGTGCAATGATAACGGTTGTCTTGCAAATAGAGAGAAAGTTTTGATTATTTTATAATAGACCTATGGGCGGAAAACATTTTTTTCCCATTTTTATGATTGGCCTTGGATTGATTTTATCATCAGCTTGTACCAAACATTTCTCAGTTATGCATAAATATTTCTTCTTTTTGCCAGATCTTTCTGAAAACTGCTTGATAATCTGCTGCTAGTATATGTTTTCATATTAAGAATTTGTATTCTATATACAAATGTTTACCTTTTCAAATCACAAATGTAAAAATGTATCAAATCTTGTATTTTAGTTTAGTTTATTTTAGTTTTTATGGGAGAAACATATACATTATCATGGATAAATAAAATGTAAGGGAAGGTTACCAAAAATCCTCAAAGGGCTTAAAAGTGGTAACCCCCATTAAAAAAGTTTGTCTTCAACCATTAATTGAAAAATTTACATCTTATGTAGATAATAGTTACAATACAACAAGTCTAATAGAAGCTGCTACAAGGGAAAAGGCAGTCATTTCTTAGGAGACGTTTTGATTTTAAACTGATTTTGTGAGACCTCAGTAAAGGTTAATACTTAGTTTTGTTAAACAAGTTGTTCTTTAGTGTCTGCAGTTTGCCTCTGTTTTTGCACAGTTCCCCTGGTGCTGCCCCGTTATCTCAGCTCAAGATGTACAGCTTCATGGGTGGGGGTTTGTTATGTGCCATCGTGGGTAACATCCTGCTGGTGGTCTCCACGGCCACCGACTACTGGATGCAGTATCGTCTGTCTGGAAACTATGCCCACCAGGGTCTCTGGAGGTACTGCATGTCCAACAAGTGCTACATGCAGACTGACAGCATAGGTAAGGGTTCTTTCTGTTTATATATATAAAAAATATATATATATATATATAGTTTGTAGACTTTTCTTGCTTGTTTTTTATTATTTTTGATTGATTCTTTCTTAACAAATATTTCAAACAAACAATATTATACATAATAAACATTTTTTTAACACCATAAAGCTTACTGACTTACTGACTAATAAGGATTATTTAAATTTTCTTGTTTAAAACTCCCTAACTTACCATGCATGTTTTCACTGGATATCTAAACTGCTTGCTTTTGCTGAAAAATACATTTTCTGAATTATTAATTCATTGAATATTATCCATATTATTTTTGTAAGGCACCACATAATCAAAAAGTTGAACCACCTTAAAGTTTTTTGACATATTGATCTGCATGACTTTCATGATCTGGCACTTACAGTATAGCACTTATTTTATTCATTTTATATTCTATTTGTGTTTCTTTTTAGGATGAACTAATTATGATGAGGGTATACTTTCAAATAACATTTCTTTGTGCTTCTTCCCAGGCTACTGGAATGCCACCAGGGCCTTCATGATTCTGTCAGGAATGTCCTGCTTTGCAGGCATTATCGCCAGCATCATGTCATTTTCACACTTCTCCTCCTTTGAAAGATTCAACCGCTCCTTTGCTGCAGGAATCATGTTTTTTATCTCCAGTGAGTTTTTCTATTATTTCACAATATTATAAAGTCAAACTCGATATCTTGAAATGTAAATGGGCCACAGAAAGACTGATATGTACAGTTTGATTCTCAGCTTTCTTTGTACTACTGGCTATGGCCATCTACACTGGTGTGACGGTGAACTTCCTAGGAAAGCGCTTTGGTGACTGGCGTTTCTCCTGGTCATACATCTTGGGCTGGGTGGCCATGCTCATGACATTCTTTGCAGGTGTGAATTGACAAAATGTATTATTACTTAAAACTTAATCTCCTCATCCTATGAGGTATTAGCCAGGCTATTCATGCAAACTATCAAACCAATATAAGTACTGTCTGTTGCAGGTATTTTCTACATATGCGCCTACAGAATATATGAGGGCAGGAGAGGAACTGGTCCACGCTAGATGTCTGCAGAAATCAAAGGACACTCTTTGTTTGGATTAACAAGCAGACAGCATCAAGGCACACCCAATAAAGACACAACATCTAATGGAGATACTTTGATGCTCTGCTTGACTTGTTTATGAAAGGACCTTGAAATTACAGATTTTATTCTAAGAAATACTGACTGTTTTTGCCAGCAGATGGCAGCACTAGCTCAGCCTACCATGGCCTCAATCTGTGGCAAATTTTTTTTTGTATATTTATATTTAATTTGAATATTGCATTGAATAAGCTAACAAACGTGTTATAGAGAGAGGATTTTTTTTTATCATTAATGTATAATCTGAATTATTTGAACCTCATATGATGTAGACACAATATCTCAATGCACAGTCTTTTACTAAGAGAAAATACTCTGAGGGAGCATTTATTGTGTAATTTGAATTAAATAACAAAGGTCTGTGTGCTGTATGCTTGTCTTGTGACTGTTGCCTTTAAAAAAATTTAAACAAAGTAGGTAAAAGCAATAATTAGAGATAGCTTTGAGGTTTCTGGGAAAGGGTTTAGCTTTAGTCCAGCAGGATGTTCTTATCATCTTCCTGCTTCCAGACTCTGCTTTGCCTTTAGATTGATGGTAAAAGAAAAAAGTGGACGGAGCTGTTTGTGATAGCTACATTAAACTCCCAAGTAGAACATGAGGAGAAGATCATGTTCCCATATCGGAGAAAACTGGGTGGGGGTCTCCAGCTACTGATTATCTAACTGCTTTTTTGAGTAGATGCAGCTTCCTCCTCATGCCTGGTATTTGTTCAATTCCATTCATCAGCCCAGAGGAAGTGAGAGCTGAGGCTGAGGTAATGACTAGTTTGGCTATTTTGTGACACAGAAACAGACATGTAAAGACGTCTGCACACAGATCCAGTATTTCATACTTGGCAAAAATGGCTGCTGTAAATAGATAAACTATCTAGTAAATCAAATTATCCAGTAAGTGCAGTCTAGAAAATACAGCAACAAAGCTATATATTTTATTTTTAGTTATCTCTTTAATCTTGAGTAATATTATTTATCTTGGTGAATGGGGGTTGGGGGCGTGTTGACATGCACATTAGCCCAGGCATTTACCTGACAAGGTGTCGTTGGCCGTGTATCTAACTGTGGCACCAGTGACACTTACAAAATTAACTTAAAGAATATTTTTTAAATAAAAAATCATAATACATTCCCTATCACAAATAGAATATCAGTGCTTAAACAGAAAACAATAATTAAAACTCAAGCTGGCATGTTTTCATGTTTCCTACTGAATACATTATGATGAAAATATTATTTCTTATAAAGCCCTATTCAAAGTTCCTTAAATGACTGAAAAAATATTATATATTGCCAAAAGTATTTGCTAACCTGCTTTGACTCATATATTAACAAATGACATCCCGCTCTTAATCCATAGGGTTCAATATAATGTTAGTCCATCCTTTGCAGCTGAAACAGCAGCTTTTCCTGGAATGCTATTGATGATGTTTAGGAATGTGTTTATGCAAATGGTTTTATCATTTTTCCAGAAGCACATTTGTGAGGTCACAGACTCATGCTGGATGAGACGGTCTGGTTCTCAGTCTAATTAATTCTGAAGGTGTTATTTTGGGTTAAGGTCAACAGTCTATGAAGGGCAGTGAAATTCATCCATATCAACCTCTCTTATCCAAGTCTTTTTGGGCCTTACTTTGTTCCCTAATGAACTGTCATTCTGGAAGCGATCAGCTCCAGACTTTTCCTACAAAGTTGAGAGCATGCGATTGTACAAACTCTCTTGGTTTGTTGAGGCATTTGGAGTTCCTGTCAAAAGATCAAAGGGCCAAAACCCATTTTCTGGAAAACAGCCCCTCAAAACATCCCCCCCTCCATCAGCTGCTGGTCTGCTGCCTCCCTCTACTGGTGAAATTACGTGCTCGCCCCCAGTTGGCTATAGTTTTCTGCACATGCGCTCTTTCAGGCGTATATGTGTGTTGAGCTACAGTTTCAGACAGTCGTTAAAGCTCACTTTTATAACCCCGGTTCTATAAAAATGGCAGAGGGTCGTAAGAGAAAAAGTGTCTACGAAGTAGGGAAAGGCCTCAGAAGAGAGAAACAAGAGCAGAGTGTTTTTGGGAAATTCTTTCACACAATGGCGTACGCTCAAAGCACAGGTCAGGCTTCTTACTGAGGCCTCAGTTGCGAAGTTTCTACTCGACAGGTAAAGTTTGGCATGCTATTTGGAGAAATCCATTTCACATCACTGCTAGAAATGGGCTCGTGCACGGGTTTAATAGGCATTCCCTCTCAGGGGCGGGTACAGGGTTGTGCATGTGCATTTATTTTTTTAAGTTGAAAGGGTGGGATAAAAAAAAAATAAAAAAAATTGAAAAAATCTTCCACTACACCTTTAAAGTTTTACAGGTACTGCATAGATTGAATCAAGGACACCTGGGCTCAATGCAAAATTAGTGACATTTGGAAATTGGTGAGAAAACTTGAGCAATTCTGAAGAACTTTTAGGTCTGGTCGATTTTGGCTCCCCTAGTGGACAAAGCTGTATGGTTTTGCCTGAAGTAAGACAGCATTTCCCATGATGACCAGGAGCTAGAGATTGTCCAATTCGAAATCGGCCCTTGACAGCACTGCCTACCTAGCTGCTGTAACAGTTATAATGACCCACACAGAGATAAAAGCTGGCACAAGGATTCAGTCAGGGCTGTTGTACGTTAAGTATGCCATAGCTTACCCTTACTTTACACCAAAAAAAAACATACATCCATTGACTTTCATTGGATTATTTTGCACTCTGAGTGGACACAAAACAAGGACAGATATTAAACTGTACATTTTGTCCAGGAATAAAACTGAAGCATCACTATTATGTTCAGCAGCTTTTTTTCCTGTTTCAATCTTGGCTTCTTTTTTTTTATCTTAACACACAGCTTCAGTAGGAGACATTCAATAGTCACGTCAGTAATCCCTCCATTATGTGCTGCATTGCACATTGCTTGACCATCCAGACATCCCTCCGTGCTTTTCCATCTTTCTGCCAATTCATGCCTGAAGCGGAGACGAAAAGACCTTAAAGATCACAAGACAGGATGAGAAAGACATTCCTTTTGAAGTCAAAGCAAAAGCATGCCAGGATGTAATCTAAGATACAAGGAAATAACAAACTGAGTTTTTCTTTTCAAGTTAGATGAAGCTGAATAAAGAAGAAATAATGATAAAGGAACATTTAAGGGATCTTTTTTTCAAAAGAAAGGCAGGTGATACTTTAATCCATTATTGTGGTGGTTTTACATACAGTCAAATACTAAAGCGTTTCCACAGTTTGTCAGGTTACAACCACAAACTTCAATGTGTTCAGTTGTGATTTAAGGTAAATGATCAAAGTACAACATAACTGTATCTTCAAAGAAAGTTTCACATGATTTTCAAACTTTGACACAAAGAAAAATCTGAATATCTGTGTGATGTATTTAAGTTCAACCCTCTTATTCTGTTACCGCTTAATACAATCCACTGCAACCAAATACCTTCAAAGGTTAATCTAAGTAGAGTCCTCCTGTCTGTGATTTATTCAAAGTAAAAATATGGCTTATCAGTAAAGACCTCAAATGTTTGGTAGAGAACAATAGTGGGCATCATGAAGACCAAGAAACACAGCAGAAAGGTCAGAAGGAGAAGTGATCATTTTAAAAGAAGATGTATTTTTTTAAAACAAAATCCACTCTCAACTGCCGTCCAGCCTTCCTGGAAGAGTAGAACATATTAAAATCTTTAAAATGAAACCTTGTTTTCTTCAAGCCAAGATGTGAAAAAAGCTGCTCTGGTCAGAGGAGACCATAATTTCAGTTTTTGATCAATAAAATGTGTATCCATTGTAAAACATGGCGGTGGAATCATCATGTTGTAGGGATGTTTTCTTAAGCAGGAATAGAACTGAGAACTTGAGGCAATACTGATTTCCCTGCTGTACAAAACAGACATAATTTTCTTTCTACTTCGCAATTATGCTGAAGTTTGTGTTGGACTATCGCATAATATCTTAATAAATACAAGTTCACCTGAAAAAAATGAAAAAGTTCAAGGAGTGTGAATACCTGCACAGCACCGTTTAACATAAAACATTTAAAGACAAATACAGAAGCACAGAGGGAGATTTAGCAGCAAGTGATCAAAACCTTTTAAAACTAAAAAAGCTTGACATAAAAGTAGAAGAAAAGATTTGAGGAGTTTCATACACAGATTTTTTAAAAACATATATATAAAATATAATTTTAATGTATGAACACAACAAAAACTGTAACATTATACACAGAACAGTTACTGTAATTGAAACAATGAATTTGCAGAGAATAGCTCTGCCTCAACAAGGTTCTGCAGCCACTAACCTTTTTATTAGAATTGTTAGGATCAAGAATCTTTGCTTTCATTTATAAATTAATTGCTGCATTGAGGTTTAGATAACAGCCAAACCATTTACCGTATTTTCGCAACTATAAGGCGCATATAAACATCTTTTTTTTCCCTCAAAATGTGCGGCGCGCCCTATAGTGCGGTGCGCCCTATGTGTGTTGTTACTGTGGACGTTTGAGACCACCATGAGAACGTTAAAGGGGGAAGTGTGGGCGTGGATTGTGTATAAAAGAACAGGTATGTGCTTTATGCAGAACTCCTCATCTCCTCATTGAGATGATGAAAGAGTGGTTGAGGGAGGTGTATGTAAGGAGACCAGGTAACTTTTTCCACTCATCACCATTGCTGTTAATCTGTGATTCCATGCGTGCCCATCTCACAGCCGATGTGAAAAACATGTTGAAAAAAATTAACGCTGTGCTTGCTGTTATTCCGGGAGGTCTGACAAAGGAACTTCAACAGGTCGACATCGGTGTGAACCGGCCATTCAAAGTAATGCTGCTTTCACACCGGACGCAGCAAGAGCAGCAAAATTGCGTCTGCTGCTTTATTTTTGCTGCTTGTACCAGTTAGTTCTGACGCGCGGCTGAAGCAGCTGTGCTGCTCTGGCTGCGCGGTGCAAAAGTGTGTCTGATGCGAGTTGGGCGGAGCTACTCTATCCTTTCTTTGCCTTGCAGCTATATTTGCTGTGATCAGTGGGAATAAAGTAGTTTTAATATGTTTTTAAGTGAGAAAGTCCACCTGAAAACCTAATCACTGCAGTCAGTTCATCCAGATTACTATCCTGCCTTCCAATATTTTTTCTGTTGGAGCCGCTCAGACCCCTACATACAGTGGTGCGCTGTCAATAGGAATCCCATTCATCAGCAGCCTCTGGCCGGGTCGCCTCCTCGCGGTTTACTGCGGCAGCTGGTAGGTGTTTTTCATCTAAATAATCTAAACTGCAGGCACCAGGATAATAAAAGCGAACATATTCTGCCGGCAGATTTCTGCATTTTAAGTTAATTTATGTGTCAATAAACTGTTTCAGAGAAGTGATCACAGCGCTCTGTGTCATCAGCGATGTGTCTGTCTCACGGCCAGCTCCCAGGTTTGATTAATAGGCTACTTTTTAATAAATACATGAATAAAGCACAAACATACTCAGTTTTGCTCCCGCTCTATTTTTAAATACGCTGTAGAGGTCTTTAAACGTAATAGAGTATATGTACCGGTATATAAAACCTGCTCCCTATTATCCGGTGCGCCTTATGTGTGTGTTAAATACAGTAATGGCACACATAACTGAGACTGCGCCTTTTAGTACGGTGCGCCTTATGGTCGTGAAAATATGGTAAATGTATAGAGTAACACCTCTTAGCTGCATTTCTTTTTTTCATAGAAATTTTGAAAAGGGACAACTATTTTAAAACATCTGATATATTAAATGTCCTGTTGTCTCGATCATTCAAAATCTCTGTGGGAAGCCTGCTATATGTGTCACAGCCATAGAAGGGTTCAAATGCTTTCGTTACATAAGCTGACAGCCTAAGTCATTGGGTCTTCTATTGTATTGTGTACTATCAGGTTGCATCGTTAAGCAGGGCATGTTCTACTTACAGGGACTCACGTCTGGTAATCTGACTCTTAAGTTTCCATTTACTCCAGTCCCGCTCTTAGTGTCCATTTTATCTGGATTATAGATTTAGAGCCATCAGAGCCTAAAATATGAAGGTAGTAGAGTGAATTTCTTCATCCATCATCACCTCTGATATGAGCTTGGTCCGTCAGAAGCCATTAGGATTCTGGATGTGTGATCTTTGGAGTAGAAGTTACTCAAGGTGTGCAAGGCAAAGCGGATAAGCTTCTAATTATTTCTTTTTGTTTGTTTTTTTGGTGCCATCAACCTTGAGCTAGAGAGAAACATTCAGAAGTTTGCTCTGCTGAAAAAGGATTTCCTTGGTGTTTTTATAGATCCTCTATTATACGGTTTCAGCTTGTTGGTGAAGGAACATGATAATGTTCTCCACTCCACTCCACAAGTCTTTTAAATGTGCCTGCGGCGATGATGGTGGTGATGATTGCGCATGTCTTCCATGGTGATTCTGCCCCACGCGCTGATCACAAATGTTTCAATCTCGCACTCATTGTCTCCTCGAGCGATACGGAAGTAGCCATCCTCCCCCCAGTTCTTTCCCCAGGAGTTGGCAGCGATCTGAGGATAAAATACATCACTCAGCATCTTCACGAATAGCTCAACATGGAAATGTAAAAATGTCTTTAGAAAATAAGGTTTTAATTTCTTCCCATTGGAAAACAGTGGTGCAGTGACAATGAAAAATATTAATGAGGCATTCTTTTATTATGAGAATGATAATAAGCCCTTGGAATAGGCTTTGTGTAATAAAAAAAAAGAAAAGAAATAATACCCAATATTTCCTTGGTGTCCCATTGTAGTCTCTGTCCTCTCCCCACCTGTGCACAAAGCAAAATGAGAAATAAGACACATGCACACACAGATTTTAATCTTTTTTATAGATACAAATCTAAAACACTATGGCATAACATACAGTAGCTGTAAACACACACACACACACACACACACACACACACACACAAACATACATACATACATACATACATATATTATATATATATATATATATATATATATATACATACTTATATTATATATATATATATATATATATATGTGTGTGTGTGTGTGTGTGTGTGTGTGTGCGTGTATCTGAAATCTTTTACTCTAATCCAAATAAAATCCACTTTAAATCCCTAAAGAGTAAATACACACCAACTTTGTGTACTTTAATTAAAAGAAAAGCTGTTCTTTGAAAGCCTCAGGTGTTATTTTAAGAGCATTGCTAAACAAACAGCTTAATTAGAAACAGGGAACTCCGAAGAGATAAAGTTGTTGACACATTTAAAGTTAAATTAAATTATTAAATAAAGATTGACACATCCAAGCTTTTCAACCCGTCATCCAAAAGGAGAAAAAATATGGCAGAAATGCTACCAAGAAATGGACGCACTAACTTTGGCAGAGCTACGGAAATCCTCAGCTAAGCTGGAGTTTGGATAGGAGAACCATTGTTTGTGCACCCTAATAATTGACTCTTTCACAACATTATGAAATATATGCAATAAGAAGCCTTCTTTACAGTTTGACACACGCAACCGAGGGGACACGGTTCACATGTGGAATAAGGTGATCTGAAGCCGTAACTAATGTTGCAACCTGCAAAACACTATTGCCTAATCTAGGATTTTCTATAAAAGCACATGAAAACTTGATGCTAAAACTTGGCTAACCAGATGCAAACTAGGTCTCTAAACTGTCAGTAAGAGCAGCTGAAATTGTGGTGTTTTTCCCTGCCACTCTCACATCAGAACTACAAGTCCAAAGAGCATCAACGCTCTGAGCACTATGCACCCAACACCCAGCTGAGCAGATGATCAGCATAGACAACCCAGTTCAGTGTTGAATAAACTTTCTCAGGGAGCTTCTCTAGACACAGGAAGGTGTGTGAAATCAGGTCAGCCTTTCCACGACTGATTTATCCAGAGAGCCATCAGACATGCTGCCATTAATGAGCATTCATCAAAATTCATCAAATTGTAGCTTCTACCTTCTGTTCCTAGCTTCTAACTCTTCACTTTACACGAGTGAGAACACGACTGTGAGTAGAAAAAAATTCATTGTCATTACATGACAAAAATGCACATGGATAACGCTTGTGAAATTGGAAATGCAGCCTTCCAGAAAAGAATTACAAAAATAAAAAATCCCAGAAAATGTAGCAAATGTGTATGAACAGCTGACAGTTAAGAGCTTGAGCTATTTTGCAACGAGAAATTAGCAAAAAATCCAGTCTCTTGATGTTCAAAGACTTTTAAATGTCTTTGTAGTAAAACATGCTGCGCCAAAGGATTGACTAAAGGGGGCTGAACTTCAACGCAGGATAGATCCCAACGGTAACCGCATGTTCCCAGCCATATCTGTTGCAAAGATTTTTGTAAAACACAATTTTCAGAGAAACGTACATATAAAACTTATTCAAGAGCTTTGATCTTGTCACAAGAAAAGCAATGTATTTATATCTCTGTCACAGCATTTTCCCACTCATATGCTATTCCAATCCGAAGAACATGGAATTCCCCTCTTTGATTGGCATTTCCACCCTCCAGAATTTAAAACAGAGGATAAGTTGTCAGGAAATGAACACCACCTCAATCCACCATCACAGGGCAAATTATCCAAAAACATACAAGCACAGCATGTGAACCTTATCTCTACTCTTTGTGCTTGCCAACAGATTTGTTTTCCGGAAACCTTGGCATAAACCCATGAATTCCTACTACCGTTCAAAGCTGGCCTGCCAGCCCCTGCAGTCTCTGTTTAGCATCATCAAAACATTCTCCCAAAGCCAATTCCCATCCTGTTTTTGCACTACATGCATTTTATTTCCCAGGAGACTCCCGGTGCTCAATCCCTTGTTATCTTTCTATAAAGAAAAAGAAAGCTGGGAAACGGAGCGGAAGGTGGGGGTCTCTGCCAACTAAGCTTGCCATCACAACACTATTCGGCACTGCCAGCTGCCCATTACTGTCTGACTTCAGTATTTTCTTAAGTGCAGTCAAGAGTCACAATGACCTGAAACAGACACTGTTAAAAAAACAGCATGTGGCAACAAGAGTCTTAAACAGAATGGAAAATCAAGACAGGAACAAACACCTATACTTATATCTATGTGTCTGGGAGAGATGCATGCTGTCCAGCATGGTTACTGGTACAGACAGAGCCAGACAGCATCACACCACTACTTATCTCTTATCAGACCCACAATAAGCTCCCTTACTCACTCATGGACAATGATGGACATACCACTGAGCCTGTGCTATCCTCATCCCCCTCTTCATAGCCCTCTCTGGCCGATTGATTCCCCTTTCTATGTCCAGTGTGGTAAGGATCAGCCTCCCAGACAATGCTCTTTCCACCACGTTGATTCTCAATGCTCTTTTCACAAACTTTCCCAGGCCCCAGGCTTACAGGAACGCACAGCTATGGGATTTGTCCTGTGTAAACCCGCTGACGCCTGGGGCAGGTTGAGCTGCAAAACACTGTACCACAGCAGCCTGTTATAATCTTATTTATGTACAAACCTGGCGCTGATACATCCCCTCAACAAGAACCAACATTATCCACACTTAACAAGCAAAAGAGGTAAATAAAACTTGGCATCTAGCTAAGGTTGCTCATGCATACATCTTTTGTTATGCACCTGTAAAAAATAAGCATAAACCAGTATATTAATATTTTTGATGGTCCTTGTGTGTTTTATGTTTAAATACAAACATAAAAAAATACAATAGTTGAAGAAAAGTATCTCAATTTAAAATAACGTAATTACATAAACAACATGCAAAATATATATCTTATTAAAACTGTTATTATACATTTACAACACATTTTTCAAGTTTCTATTTTTTATTCTTTTTTAACTGTAACACAAGTCAGTTTAATAATACAAATGAGAGGTGTTGTCTCATGGCCAACATGAGACAGCTGACCTGACAGCCTAGACCGTATTAACTGCTGTGTGTTTACACAGTGCTGTATCCAATCCTATTAATGTAAAGTTAAGTGGAAGGAAAACGTGTACAATCAACCGGGAGTTTGGGATTAAATTCACAAGGTTTGGACTGCAGTGGAAGACAGAGCCACACCACACTAATGTATCCAGGATATGATTTGTAACTGTTGCATCCCTTCTGTTAAGTTAATATTAAAGCAAACTGGGCTTCCTTCACACGCCAGACTGCATTAATACATTAATTAATTAGATTTCCCTTTGGATAGTTTTTAAAATATTCAAATTACCTCAGAAAACAGATTTTAAGTTTTAAAAATTAACAGGAATAGACATTAAAAATACATCACTCTGCGTTTATTTATTTATTTATTTATATATATATATATATATATATATATATATATATATATATATATATATATATATATATATATATATATATATATATATATATATATATATAATCGACTTTTCCAATAATATTCGTATTCATTGTGGTTCCATAGAATGTCATTTGCAGAACATTTCATAACACAATGATCACTTTGCTAATCCTTGTTTGGACTAGTTGACGTTTGTCAAATTCAGGAGATTGTGATCCCTAAAAAAGGCAACAACAACCAAGTAATATCCTGTTAGTATATAATGTTGATTGGTGTTACTCTTTTGGGGACATTTTCTTACCCCACAGTGGACACAAAATGATATAAAGCTAAAACCAAAATCATATCTTTGTTGGGGTGAAGATACAGTAAGTTGTCTCAAATCAACTTTTTTACATGAGTGAAGATCAGGCTGGGATCATGATGAATAAATGCAAAGAAATGTTAGGACTCTCTGTTCATATGACACATATGATTGTAATCAAAGAAGATGCTACGAGATAAAATGTATTGAAAGACACATGGTAAATATGTAAAACTAACAAAAAAAGGTTGACAGTGAACGCAGCAGATGTTTGTCATTCTTGACCAAACATGAAGAAAACGCTTCTTATATCACGCTTTTTTTTGCTGTTGTCCCTGCAAGTCAAACGTCTATAGATTACTGTGTCCAAACATGCTCCTCAACCCTCATGGTAGACATTTTGTAAGGTAGTTGTTTCCCTGAAATTAATAATGCAACCGTTTTTGGCATTTTCTTATTTATATTTAGTTACTTTAACACAGTTGTTTCATGTTAGCAGGGTAGGACATAAAACTATTGTGTTAGAGTAACTAAATATGATTAAGTAAATGCCAAAAGCAGTTGCATTAGATTTTATCACTTAATGACAAGCGCAGCATGCCACAACCAGCCACATGAACTCCAGAGAAAATTCTTGTCGATAATTTATGACTAAAAGTCTTTTTGATGATATTTCATAGGTCAAAACCTCCTTTTACCTTCTATTGTCCTCCAGACAAGACATGTAGCAGCATGAGACAAGTACCTGTCTGTCTGGGGGGGATTGTTTAAATGATAACGGGTGTTTTTTAGTCTGGATTCCAGAAGGAGAAAAATAGGGGAAGCAGGATGGTCTGAGTATACAGAGACGACGAAGACACAACAGACAGCGAGAAGATGTGAATGGAAAGCTGAAAGGACTGAGGAATAGCCAGAGAAGTGAGGGCGGGGTTTGGGAAATCCAGGTGTGTCGTCTACCTGCTTACATATTTGTGGTCACCACAGTTAAAAGGTGGGGGGTGGGGAATAGTGTCTGGGGAAAATCGAGGAGTGGAGCAAAAGGTGTGTCTCTAATATCAGGAGTCTGGGTGGGAAGCTTACTCACAAGAACATTCTTGGCTTTGGGCAAACTCATATGGAAGACAAGATTCAAGCAGAACTCCATAAAGAGAGCTACCCAGTAAAGGACTTTAGGTAACATTCATACAGCAAGTCTTGCATGGCTAAATTCTAATTTTTATCAACTGAAATCTAGCCTTTTTGTCGTGATTTGACCAACATCAGAGTTCAGTCTGAGTGGACATCAAAGTAGCCCACATGCACAGAAGGAGAAAGTAGAAGTCATAAAGCAGTGTACTGCTGACGGAAGTAATGATGACATAGACTGTGCCAAGAAATGTTAAAAAAAGCTTAAATGAAAAGAAAGGAAAAAAAAAAAAAAAACGTAATAGTAGATGCCAGTGTCTCCAAGCTATTATTAGACTCATGATCAGTGGGAGGCGACAGTATCATGGCACCATCATTAACTTAGAAGGAAGACAGTGCATAACTATTAACAATGTGTGTTTGGAATGCAGTTGGTGAATGCTGTTGGAGAGAAGTCTGTGCGGATTTGTAGTGAGAGCACTGGAAATTGTATAAAAGTCATATAAAATTCATGGTTACTGTTTAGACTGCTGCGGCTTTAAAAAATATCACATAAATTTATTACCATATATGGATGTAGCTCAAATCGGGTTTTATGGGGGAGTTGAAAAGACTGTGTTTTAGCCATTCAGACTACTGTGAAAAAGTCAGATATGGGTTGCATGTGGGCAGAAATATTAGATTCCATCTATAGCTTCTATATCTGTTTTCTCCAGATGAACCATGCATCAATACTGTAATGTCAAAATCCACTCCTAATATCCTGTATTTTCATGTTCAACCTGATAAGGCTTATGCCCACAAGATGACTAAGTTCCCAAAACAAGTAAAAAAAAGGCCTGCTGTTATCCATTGCTAAATAGTAGGAACTCACCCAAGGATCCTGACTGAGTGTGTGCCATGTTTGCGGTACTGTGGCTGTTTGGCATTGCTGACATCAGTATGTTTGTAGATCCCACTCTTGTAGACGAAGAAGTCCTCGTGAACCTCCATAATAGCTGTTGTAACAAATAAATAGAAATAATTAAAAAAAGATTAAAACAAAAACTCACATGCATGCTTTCCAGGATCTGTTATATTGGGTGGATATAACTGGATCTAGGGGGATCAAATTCGATTCACCTAAAAGCAATTAGTCTCACAAGTGAAATACACTTATATGTCCAAGATGTTAGTGTGTGTGAGTGAGCTGAGCACCTGGACTATCATGCATCTCTATTCAAATATCTATAATATCTTGTATAATTTTCCATACCCCTTAACCTTTTCCACATGTTGCCACCCCAAAACCAGAACCGTTCATGTTTTTCATTAGGAGTTTAAGGAAAGAGACCAACAAAAACTAATATATTTCTTTAAAGTGGGAAGGACAAACTTTAATGGCTGCATTGGTTCTAAAATATCTCACACATCTCTGCTTAATCAGTTGTCAAAAAATTAAAATATGGTGACAGAACTGCAAAGCCACCATTACATCCTCCTAAACTGAAAGGTTAAGGCAAAGAGCATCTATAAGCATTCAAAAGGCCCTTGAAAACTCTAGTGGAGCTGCAAGGAGCAGAAGTTTGAGAGTCAGTCAACAGGATAAAACGATAGGCCTTATGTAGGACTGGCAATAAGAAAAACATTGCTGGGAGACAAAAGACAATTTCGTATTTTGCCAAAATCTAAAGGCCAGATCACACCAAATCCGATTTTGTGTCTAATCCGACAGAAAATCGTGTTGGACGAGTTCATGGCGTTTAGCAGTCATTGAAAGTCAATGGGGATGAGCAAACCCTACACGATTTTCTCAAAGGGGGCTTGCGTAGCTCTGACTAAAATAGACCACTAGGTCTGTTTTAGTCAGACTACGCAGCCATTCAGCAACAATTTCATGGATCTGACAGGAAGAGAGAGAGACGCAGTTAATAAAGTAAAACACTTCCGCTTTGGAGGAAATACAAAATAAAATCTGTTAATCGCACAGGGACAGAGTCAGTTTTGGCGTTGCACATCGCGTATATAGTAAGCGAGAAATACTTGTGCAAAAACAATGAAATAAACTTTAAAATAGAAAGATTTAACCATGATATGAGTTCATAAGGACAGAAAAAGCATAAAGTAGTGATCCTCTTTGAGCCTCACAAAAACAACGAGGGACAGAAAATGCAGTTTATTAATCTCGAAAAAGAAAACTTCAGGAGGACTGAAAACGAATATAGTATAATAGAAATCCTCTTGAGCCTCATGAAAAAATAAAAAAAGGACTGCTCCCCCAAAGGGGATGGGTTAAATGCAGAGAGTTTATTTCCCCATTGTGAGATCAATAAAGTTCAATTTATTATTTATATTTATTTATTAACACACTGAATGTGTAATTTGACAAGATCTAAATCTTGAAGGGGTCTGGATATAATGCGAGGCATGGAATCAAATGCTTTTTTACGGTTAAGAAGCCTGCACTGGTTCTCAAACAGATTTCACAAATATAACAGAAAGGAGCACACACATATCCCTTTATAGCTCTGCATCAAGGAGCCATTACAATGTCAAAAGGGAAAGTTGGTATGAAGCCAACACGTCTTCCTGCCTGTACTTCTGAACAATAATAGCATACCAAGGCGGCAACGGACTCACACTCTGTTTAAAAGTACTTGACAGTGACTCAGATGAGCGCCAGACAGCGAGGCAGGGGGGTCAAGGAAAGTATGCAACCCTATCTGTATAAATGCCAATTATTTGCGACCTGGTTACTGGGGTCAGAGTTGGAGCCCTGGACAAAAATTACATGGGTCAGAGGGTCAAAGATGACACCTCAGGGCCTAAAAATTTAGAAAAAGATTTAGGTTGCTCTACATGGATGGAACTTTTTCTTTTTTTACGGGAAGGTAAAATAATACATATTGGTAGAAAACACAGATTTATGTTAGGGTATTGCCTTACCTTGAACAGGGCCATTATCCATGATCTCCTTCATAATTTCCTTTTCCTAAAAGACAAGATAGAAGGAACACTTTACAGCCAGAGGATGAGGCAGGCAGATCTGATCAGAGAAACAGAGATGATAAAAACAAATGTTCCTGCAGTAAAAACTTAGACTAAAATCAAGTTATCAAGGCCTGTTGGACTTAATAACCTCCTTATTGACCCCACAGGCTATCAAGGGGCAGAAACAAGATACTATAATGCTTTTGAAAAACCATTATCTGTTATTTAACACTGACAGATGCTGGCTACATCGAACACATCTCTGGCTGCAGGTCGGTGGAAACAAAACATTGCAACCTCTTTATATCAAAGAGAAACATTACTGTTTTATCAACTTGCTATCATTTGGAGTAACTTCACTCATTCAATGACAGTAGCCATCTCTCTAATGTCATCTTATAAAAAAGTGGATTTTCTAAACTGTTTACAACAGTTATGCATAGACAGGAGGTAAGGGTAATGTCATAAAGCATAAACACACAAATCTAATTTACAATGAATATCAAAGACTTTGCATGACAACGAATAGTGAGTCTGTTCGTAGATTTTTAAAGTAGTCTGTAAGCAGCAGTAATGTGCTTAATGCTTTGTTTTTCCATATATTTTGAGTCAAATGAACCCGTCATAATAACAAAGTTGTAATAACACAATAATTCTGCTAATTTCCTACACATTGATCCTGAGTTAAATAAGGATATGTGAAACGATTTTCTCTTACAAAAACTTATCTTTAACAACATTTTTTTAACCATAATGTGTAATTTGAGTATGATTATCCCATATCAGCATTGGGAAAAAATTTTATTATAAGTTTTTGTTTTGTTTGTTTTTTGGGAGGGAAACCTGGCTTCAGAGTAGAGAACGTCTGGTCTCTCCTGGGTAAAATAACATGACACTGAGGCCCATTTCTCTAAAACCACTTTTCAAGAAGTCATGAAAAGTCCTCACAGAGGCAGCTACCCACTAAACCTGAACACTTGTTTGAATCAGTAGTATTTATTAATTAATTTATACATATCACAGTGTCCTCTGATATAAGTTATTATTATTATTTGTGTAACTATAAAGTGAAGAAAAAATCTCTTCAACTTCCTGATAAAAAAACATTTGCAAATTTGTACTGTAAAATTAAGCTACTAATTACTTTGTCTTTAAGTTTTTTTGCCTTATATTTATACACTAACACTGAGCAGACAGATGTTGCACATAATGCTTAAAACTATGTGATTTACTCAACAGCAAATTTAACTGTTCATGTTTTAAAAAAAAAAGTGACTAATGACTAATTAAAGAGTGCAAAGTCTTAGGTTGTTTTTCATCTCATTTTGTCTGGAGCTATGCACATGAAAAGGCATGCTTGTAGATGTTTATGCATGCATGCATGTTTCTGTGATTAGTTGTTGTTTTGTTTGGGGTGTCTTAAGAATTTTCTGTGGTTGAGCAATTCTTACATTGGATGAGAGCCTGTAGGGTGGTGTGGACTGGTAGATGTCATTGTTGTAGTTCTGTGTGTTGGGACAACGCTGTGTGGCTTGCCTCTTGCCCCGTCCCACTGAGCGACTCTGCATCATGCAGCGCCCCACCTCTGCTGGGGTTTGCTGGGGAGGATGGTATGGGTAACAGTCCTCTGTCACAACTCTTTAAGAAGAAGAAACCATTTCAATCTTTTGTTTACTTAAAAGCATGTTTATGTTTTGCATGACATGCAAAATTCTCACCCACGGCGCCGTAGGTACCACCAGGCTCCATCTACACGCCCTCCTGCGCAGCCTCCTTGGTTACGGGTGTCACAGGAAATAAGATTTTGGGGCGACAGCTGAGGAGTCATGTGACCCATGGACTGAATGGAGATTCGGTCTGATGCCACAGCTAGGAAAAAGAAGCAGAGGCTAAACATTGCATCTCTTTTGGCTTGTGCAGCTTGTTTCCTTACAATAAGTATTCACATGGCTTAAACAGTTTTTGTTGTTCTTATATGATGAATTTCCATGTATTATGTTGGAATTAGTATGGTAGACTAAAAAATAAGTTTGTAATTATAAAGTGAAGGAAAAAAGAAAAGAGTACTGTAATGTACTACTTTTTCTTTTCCTTTACAAAAAATAAAAAAGTTTGCCATGCAATTTTATTGAAGGTATTCTTTTTGGATGTGGAAGAGATCCTGCCTTAGCTCCTCCTTAGTTACTATGGGCCTTGAGACTCTGATCAATGCTCTCCTGCATTAGTTTAAGGGGGCATCCATATCTGAAAGCTTTATGGTTTTTCTCATCATCTACTAATGATGAACTGAACAGTGACATTGCAAGATGTTCAAAACTAGCAGGAGCAGCTAAATTTACAATTCAAGTATCAGATTAGGGGGAACAGAAAGATATGCTTACCAGATTTTAGGTTTATTTGCTAAAGGAATTTAAAAAAAAACACATAATCTTTTCTTCCAAACTTTTAATTATGTGTCAATCTGTGTTGATATAAAATGTAAAAAAAAAAAAAGAAAACAGTCAAATTCTAGAGATACTTGTTTTACAGGTTTTCCAACCATTCCACTACTTAAGTAGTTATATCATAGTTTTCTCTCCCAAGAACCCACCTGCAGTTGAAAATGCCCATGAGGCGGCACAGTTGCCCTGATCCAGCGGTTCGTGAATCTTTCCAGGCCACTTCTCCACTGAATTGAAGTGGAGCGGCAGATGGTCATTCTGAGGATCCATGTTCATCTTTAAGAAACACAAGAAAACTGCATTTAACTCACTCTGCTGGGATTTTTTTTTTACCAAGGTCATAAAGGTCACCTTGAATCTCTTCAGTCACTGTCGCTATAACATCCCAAAGGTTTAGCTTAAGTTTGCTTTGGCTGTTATACACATGATATGAGTTTTTCAAACAATTGTTCTCAGGTTTGTATTAAGCTGAAAAGGCTGCGTAAAAAAAGGTCAAATGTTCATATATACCCTAAAAATGAATAAATAAGATTAACATTCAGGCTTATGTAGCTACCAGTTGAAGAATGTACAAAGCAGTATAATGAGCTCAGAGCAGCTAAATATCTTAAATTTGTCATCTAAATCTTAAAAAAGCAAATGAAATACTTGCAGAGTTTTGTCTGGCACATTTGAAAGATTACATAACTCTCTTAATCAACTCTGAAGTGGAAGCATCTGCTCAATCAATTAGGACCACGGTCACACCAGAACCTATGATCCCCATCCTTGCTTTAAACCTGTTGTGATGTATGGTTACATCAGCCTAATCTGAGTGCTTTTCCAGGCATGCTTTCATTTGCAGAAAATTCTTAGCTTCCAGACTTGGTCTCTGTCTCACTTTGCCCTCGAGGGTGGTCACTCACCCAATCTGCCAATGGGGTGTGATGAAGGAGCAGACACTTGTGTCTTAATGACTTTTCTCTGCCTCGTGAGGACTTTGTCTACCTATTCTACATTCCACGGGTTAATTATGGGGTATTCAAAGTAACGACAGCCACCTGATGCATAACTAAGGAATGCGCTGCAGGTCGTAGATTTATTGTTGCACAGGGTCAAAGTCCACAATCCTAAACACAAGAGACGAATTGAGTAGGAGTATGTTGCCAGATAGTAATTTTTTATTTTTTTTTTGGAGCTCTTAGATACATTAAGTCATATAATCATTGTCGTGGCCTGTTAGAGGTTGGGTTAGGGGTGTTTGAGCAGGCTGTGATGCTGGTAGATGCACAGGTAGGGGCACGCCAGCAGAAGAAGGAGTTTGTTTGGGTGGGGATGGATGGAATACGCAAGCTAAACTTTTTTTTTTTTTTTAATCCTTCCTCCCCCATCTTTATCTTTTGTTGTTTTGTTTCCGTCTTATGTAATCTGTCTGGACAGAATGTAAACAAAGATGGAGCCAAAGAGGGGAGGGCTGTTATCACATACCGACAAACCCCCATAATTAGGTGAAAAAGTTTTGATCAGGGCTCTTTGGTACAGAGAAGCATGTGGGAGCTTGTAAAGAATCAAAAGAAATTCCCACCTGTTCCTTATCATCCATCTTCCCAGGTCCCCTAGCCCCTGCTGCAGCTTTCCCTAAACATGTTTTCCCACCTTAGATGTATAGAGTTTATGTTAAATATATTTTTATTTAAATTTCAGTGTCAACATTACTTAATTTTTCATCATTTCAATTATAGATGGAAGAAATTGTAATAATAAATAATTAAATAATATAAGGCTTAAAATCAACTGTTAAGTTAAAAAAAAATCTGAACATGCAAAGCACAGCAGGCCTGTTAATAAATCCTGAATCTCATGAAACTGTGATTTTTTTTTTCTTTTTTTATTTTTTTTATTTTTTTTTTAAAAGATTGTAAAAATGGTCTTGAATTACTAGATCTGAATAAAACAGCCTTTGTTAATATAGTATTAACCTTTACATATTTGCTCAGAGTAGATTTTGTATTCAGCCCTCTTTACATTGATGTTGTTAAATAAAAAAACAGTATAAGTAGCAGTTTTCATTTTATAAAAAAAAAGGGCCACCTTATTTGTATCTTAGTATAAATCAAGTGGTACTTAATTTAAAAAAAGGTTTAAGGTTGTAAAACAAGATCCCCACATTTAAAAAAGAACATTCTTAACCATCTATTTAAAAATGGACAGAATATCATCCGCCTAAACTGACTGTCTTTGCAAGTAGTGCATTATTTAGAGAAACAGTAAAGCAACCGATGGTAAATCTGGATGAGTTGCAGATATCTACAGCTCAGGTGGAAGAATTTATTGACAGGACAACTATATATTAAGGATGCAATCTGCAAAATTTGCCTTAAAGGAACTGTTGCATATGGAACATATTTGCTAAAAGAAAACCATAAGACAGATCCATGCAGGTTACACGCCAAGTATGTTGAGTGTTGGCCTAAAAGCAAAAAATTAATTTGACAGAAAATTAGCAATACAAAACACGTCAGCATCATGCTATGGGGATGCTTCTCTTCAGCATGGGTATGGATGTTTGTTGATGAGAAAAAGAATGGAGTAAAATAAAGGGCATAGAAGTAACCCTGTAAATGCCTTGATGCTGGGATACAAGCTCACCCGTCGGTAGGAGAATAACTCTGGTCAGACAGCCAGAGTTACCACCCATGGCTTAAAAAATTGTAGACCATGTGTCATGATCTTGGCACTGGTAGCTGGCCTAATTGCTCACTCAATTCACCTGTCTAACTCTATTCTGTTGTCCATTACTGCTCATGTGATCCACCTGCTGCTGCTGCTTCTATTAACATGACTCCCATCCATCGTAGACAGATTATAGATGTTCTTGTTCTAGTGCTCGTCCTCGGGGGCAGGGGACAAAGGCTATTTTAGACGTTCCGTAGTGTTTCTGATCTGCCTCTTATCCACAGAGAGTGCTCTGTTCTCATCTTGGCTCAGTGGAGAAAGTGTTTTTTAGCATTCTGTAGTGTTCCTCATATCCTGACCTGTTCTGCCTCTTAACCACTGCGCCTGCCTGTTCCCATCTAAATGTTCTGCCTGAATTGTCCGCATACTCCTGGAACCCTGGACCAGCCTGTTCCTATTCTGATCTGTATCCCTGACCAGGCTCGGACTCCTGCATGTTTTCTGAGGCTGCAGCATCTGGGATAGTCTGCGCGGCACCCACCGCACCTCCTTGGCAGCCCACTGGCTGGATCCTACCTTGTTTTATGGAGATGGACTGAACTGTTGAACCAGGTTAGTGACTCATATGGATAATCATCCTACGTCCGATTATCATGGTCGCTAACCTGTGTTTCTATTAAACCAGATTCCAGTGATGGGTGGCGCCCAGCCCTAGCCGCTAATACCGCAGATCTATCCCTGTGTGTTTTTAACAAACCTCTTGAATTATTACACTGTCAGTTTCGCCTTGAATACTGGGGCCTTCTGTCCTGTTTCATTACATCATATGCCCCGGAAAAAAAAGAAAAAAAAGATTTAATTTGTGCCCCGGTACATTGTAAAAACTGATGCTGACAGACATGCAGCATCCTAACATTTGAATCTCTAGATGTGCAAAGCAGGACATATGAAAATTATTTTTTTATTTCTCAGAAACAAAGTTAACCTTTCCCTTCACTTCACAAATACGTACCCCTTTTTTGTGTTACTCCATTAAATATAATCCTGATAAGCTTTAATGAATATTTTTGTCTTGTAATGACAGAAGGCAACAAGATCAAAGCAGTTTAGCTAGATCCCTCTGACTCCCCCTAACCCCACCCCTTTTATGTACACAAATGAAGAGTGGATCTACCTGAATTTCATTCATCTTCATGATAGTGCTGGAAGGTCTTTGTGTGCCCAGCCTGAAGCGGATACCTTCTTCCAAAGTCATGCCAAAGAACTGACTGTAGTTAGCCGCCTTCCATCTAATAAAACGAAAGCAAAGAAAAACAAATCTTTGTCACATGTGTGTCTTTCCCTCTTTCTCCAATAAGCCAAAAGCCATTAAATGAATTAACTACATGATTGCTTGTCTCTGTGTTTGCTTTATACCCGTAGTTTCCTCGGTTGACAGCATGGATGACGTCAGCTTCAATCAGACATGCATTCTGCTCACACTGCCAGCGTCCTGAAGACCCACATGTACTACAAGAAAGAAAAACAGAAAGTAGGAGGTTATCAAGGCCTAAAATGGCTGCAGCTTTATTAACCAAATCTTTAATAACAACATGAAATCAACTTTAACAGAAAGACCCAAAAATAGGTCAGTGTGCAGAGGACCAGTTTAATTCCCTAAAAACAGATTAATCAAGAAAGGAATGTAAGAGGAAGAAACTGGGAGGGAGGGGGTTTGGACTGAAATATTTAGAGAACGATGGAGAAAACCATTTTTATTTGGAAGACAACATGATAAGGCAGCAAGATGTTAATGCTGACACACAGACCCTTATTACGGTGATTCTTTGAAGTAAGTAACTTCCCCATGACTCATATCTGTCTGTCTGCATATCTTTGTCTAGTTTGACAAGTGATTGAGCACAGCTCGCTATATTAACATATTTTGGATAATCTTAACAAAACTAATTGAAATATTTACATAACGTATGTTTAAAATTTATTTCCATGCGATTTTTAGTGTGAGGTCAAAATAAATGCTGTAAGACTGTTTATGAAAATTGTGCAAGACACAAATTGCATCAGACAGCTGGCTCACATTCAGCCTAAAAAGTTAATGACAAATCATAGTCTTAGACTCTCTTTTGTTTCTTTATGCTTCAAAGTCAAAGAGTGAAAATCTCATTTTAATGATAGGCTACTTCAAACATAACATTCAAAATCAGAGAAAAATTCAAATAACAATTACTAATCAGAATAGATATGTTGGATTGTTAGGATATATTTTTCGAATAGCTGTTTTATAAAAATGAAAAAAAAAAAATGAAATCATTAAGGTGATTTTACATCTCGTAGCAACCAATGATTGCAACAATTAATGCAATTTAATATCACTCTCAAGCGGAAATAGTTAAGCATGTAGCTGTTTTCTGCTCCAGAAAAAACATTCAAACTTTGCACAAACCCCTGTTCAAAGTAGTAACGTCAAGATCACGTTTAAGACAGTTTTGAAAATATGTCCATATTCATCATTATCAAAGGAAAATCATAACAATCTGTCCATATCACTTTGGTGAAGAAAATGAAGTCATCAGGAAATAATATTGACTGTATGGGATGGTTCACAGTTTACACAAAGAAATGGACCTACCCAGGACAATTACAGAGCAAATAGGTCCAATTCCCCTTTAGTCACAAAGAAGCAAACAGACTGAGTCACTTATTAGATTGTAACATTTCTGCCAAGTGTCAGAGGCACAAATGCTTAAGTGTACAATTTTATTGACTATCCTCAAAGAGGAACATTTATAACAAGAAAAGGTATGTTAAGTGTCTCAGTGGGAGGTTGAAAGACTTTGACTTAAAGGGGAGCCATGACAACCTTAGCCTTACTTTTAACTAGAAGGCGGGCACTTATATTACAAAACCTGGATGAAAAAAAAACCCATTCAGAGTTTTGAGACTGGACACAGATGGATGTGCTTGATTAATATGAGGTCTCTGATAAGACTGAGAGCCAATGTCTATGATTCAGAGTTACACTACATACTGAAAACATATAATCGAAATTCATAGAGAGATAGCAAGCTGCAAACTGTCTCATCAGCTTGATCAGCATCACTGGTGTCTATTTAGATATTTTTCATGTAAAGGTATAGTGGAGGATTTCAATCTTTCTGGTGATAAGTTTACGTAAGGCCGTCCTACATGCTCGTCCCCATTTTCACTTTCCGGTGATGAGTCTGACACAGAAAAATTCCAAATCTTCTTTTGGAAAGTAAGCTTGTATGAGCGATGCAAATAGCAACTGTTAAACTGTGTGCACGAGGAGAAATGAGCTTGTGCATGCTTTCGTACGTATTTAATTGGCTTGCCCTCTCTTGAGGGCAGGGTTGCGCATGTGGATTTTATTTTAAATAATCTCCCTATGGCTTTTGTCTAGATGGACTCAGAAGAGGACAAAGTAAAGTTCAAGTATTTGATTCTTTAGCAAGATGATGTTCATATCATTTGTGGTTGATAAAGATCTCAGAAACCTACCAGAGAGGCAAGATAAGGTGTATATTGGAAAAAATTTATCATTTTATTAGCTCTAATGCTACTCTTTTATCTGAGTCAGAGTCTCAGTCAGGCTTTATGTGCTGTTAAGATAAAAAAAAATCATGCTAAAGGGGTTTTTGAAGTATCAACTCTACTGGATATACAGTTGAAAGCGACACTAAACCTGAGTAAATTACAAGAAATGTAGAATTTTGAGGCCATCAGCAAACCTTAATGTTTATGACTTAATAAACTTAAAATCACTGTTTTTTTTTTATGGTATGAGCTCCATAGTGTTGCAGTGGGGGTGTATGCTAGAAAGGAATCAAATAAATGAAGCATTTTAAGAGGTATGTTTTGACAAATGTATTGATAGCATTGTTGAATTCAGTTACACAATAAAATTAACAACTATATTTCAGAGAAATACTCTTTAAATGCGGTATTTTTGCAATTCAATGTTGATTGTAGTTTATGATATTGCAACATTTAATTTACTGCAGTCGACATCTTTGTTAAACTGCTAAAAAGGTTGGTTTGGGGGTGTGAAAACCTTTGTAAACCAAAGAAGGGTCTAAGAGAGAAAGTTCTGAATCCACTGTTCTACCGGTATTTAACTACTTTCAACATTCATTTACAGTGCAGGCTTCCCCGTTCTAATAAAACCAGTAGCTACATGTACGAGAGACTGATTTAAGTTTGAAGTTGCTCGACTGCTTATAAGAAGACAGCGTGGAGGGAGCCGGCTGTGAGCTGGCTGTCAGCTCTAGAGGAAGCTGTAATCTCCACCCTGCAGGGCTAAGAGACTATATTTGGCAAACTAATAATTGGACGGAGTCGGAAAAGGGAGTGTTAGTTTCCCTCCATGCCATTGTTGTGGAGTAACTTTTTAAGGAGCCATGCGTTCAGCCTTAATAAGCATGTGTGGGAGCTAATACAGCCTTAAGAATCTTTGGCTCTTTGTGATGTCGGGTAAGAAATGTAGATGACATTGAGGTCCTCCAATCCTTCAATCCAATCCTTACATTTTATTTTGTCTTTTTTTTTCTTTCTTGATTTTAACATTAAAAACACATTGGGGCATTATAAAAAAATAAGAAATTAAACTGAACTATGAATAAAAGCATAAATGTTTTGCTAAATAGGTATTAAATATGATAAAGGGTCCATAGATACTCCATATGAACAGAGAAACGTCTTCCCACTCGTGTTGCAAGGAAAAAATACAAATCATTCTTTTCTTGCAGTCCTGGTCAGGAACTTGATAACTATGCGGTTCATGATAGTTTCTTGAGTGTTGACTAAAATCTAGTAGGTGAACAGTCAAAAATTAAAAATGTCCATGGCCAAAAAAATATGTATATTACGAGTCCTGTAAGGGAAATTGCCTGAATTTAAGAGAAAAATGTCCCAACCATAGAGAACTTCGTTTTTTCTTACCATGCATGTAAAAGTTTATCTTTTCTTGTGCAGTAAGCACACCGAAAAAAGATGTATATTCTTCAAAATGTTGATCCAAATATTGCTTCTACAGTTTTTTTCCTCTATGACCTTTATGAGCTGCTCCTTTTATTGTAGCTGTAATATCTTTTCCCTGGAGCACTCACCCCCTACAGAACCCCACGCCCTGCACCCATTCTATTTGTTTTGCCCCTACGTTTTGTCATCTTTGTCTCTTTATTGTTTTTGTAGTCTGTCTGATTTCCTATTGTGCCGCTGGTTTAATGAAGTCAACCGTGTTCAAATGTAGAGCGAATGTGTGTCTAACACTATAATGCAACCAGTCCCACCATGTTGTTTGCATAAACTGGCTGTCATAAAATGAGCTGTGTTTTGCAAAACCATTTTTTTACATTCACGTGTTGTTTATACAAGTCATTCTTTAAATTGTAATCCTCTTTATAAAGTCATTTTTAACATTTTTGAAATACTATTTTAATGCAAGCTGCTGCTTGCTACTATAAAAGCTCTGTTACTCTTTCCTAAATGCTGTATGGCATGGATGCACCTGCACCTGACAGCTTGGAAAAATGCTTTCACTGAAATCTCTCTCCATGTTTAAAAAGACAAATATTACATTGTTGATCAGATAAAACGAAATTTACCAGATCACTGAACTGAACAGAACTTGTCAGTCAGCATATTTTTGTGTTTCAATTTCCAGTTCAATTTGGCATTGATGTGAGAGGTAAAGTCAATTTAACTTTCACTTCTTCCTCCCTTCACTTATAAGATCTGCAGCACTTTTCACGGACTGCTCTAGATACAGGATAATAGTCACCTGAATTCTGTGTGAAAGTTTATCTTCTGAGTTCTTCTTTTCCCAAAACTTTTAGAAAAATTTAACTCAACAGCAAGGTCATAGAGAGAGCGACACATAATCTTGTCCCTCAGGAACAGAGAACAGGAAAAACAAATCAACGCTATCAAGAAGATTCACACAGAAGTTTTACACAAGAGGTCAAAATAAGAACCGAGCAGCTTTGTCTCACTGGATCCAGGTTCAGTTTGGTCCTTTGAAGTTAAGTGCATTTTTATCTATATCAAACTAGGAGCTAAACAGGAAATCTGCTTGAATTACTGTCAAACTGACCATGTAACTTTAAAACCAACATGAAACAGCAGGCTGTAAACATAATCATGCTAACAGAAGATATGGGGGGAATTTCATCGGCCTTGTTTTGTTTTCGACTGAGTTGTGTTGCTGCTATTTCTATCCTGCAGACATTGACTACTAAACTGTTCTTTGAAGGAAGCAAATTAGAGTTAATCACCTAATCAGTGCTCACTATGTTCTGCATATATATTATGAAGCTCTTATCTATTTCACAGGGACTTTCCACTTTAACATTTTAAATTGCTATAACTACAGTTGGTAAAATGAAAATTAAATGCATTAACGTTATTATGCGAATATCTCTATTGAGGTGAAATTTTCACCAGATGACGTTAGCAGCTCAAGTTATCGACACATACAAAGAAAGCAAAAGAAATAAGTTGATAAATTAAACTTTGTTGAGATTAAGTATTGAAAAATATGTGCAAAAAAAGCATAGAAAGCCAAGAAAAAGGCTGAAATCTGTCATTAGTTAGAAAAGCACTGCAAATTTACTACCATTAGCAGCAGACCTACAATTCTAACCAAATTAAAATGTTTCATCCTCTCTTCAAATTGATCTGTCTCTGTTTTGTTTTGTTTTGATTTGAGATAAATATTGTCCACTACAAAAACTGAAGTTCAGAATCATTAAAACCCCTCCATATGAGCACCAAATACATAGAGAGATATGGCAGATCAATGAGAACTATATAAAAATACCTCACTGTTTACTAAAAGCATTGGTTACAGATGAACAGCGTGTTTTTTCTTTTTGATTAAGTTATTCATTTTTATTTAATTCCTATTCCCTGTTAAGATCGGTTGGGTTTTGGTTTCCTATTGTGTTTTCAGTGTTTCCCTTGTTGTTTTTTAGAGTTTGTATCCTGCTAGTCTAGTGCAGGCTTTTGTGTTCGCTGTTTAAAGCACTTTTCTTATTGTGATTAAACGACCTATTTTTAAAAGTGCTTATTTTTCCATTATTGAAATATTTTTTTTTTTTTTTCACAGCCACTTATTGTACATGTGTCCTTCAATACCAGAAATCCCAATAATAACCTGTGTTGTTCTATACCCTGTATGGATTGTTTTAAACTATGTATAATTTTACCATTGTGAAAAATGTTTGTTGTTCTAAGACAAATAAAAAAGACTATTAAGTTTTCGAATATAACAGGTAAATAGAATAAAGAAGTAGATGAAACAAGTAGATGAACATAGAAGTCAATGAAAAGGTGAAGGATAACATTCAGCTTTAAGTTGGTAAGAAGAACATTTCAATTTGCAGATTTATGTATCTGTTACAAAGAAAAAGTTAAAAGTTGGGCTTACGTACCATAAATTGCAGTTTTCTTTGTATGTTTGCCCTGTATAAAACTTGTTTCCATTTCTTTCACAGGTACCTGAGAAGACACAAAGAGTTGGGGTTTAATATTGTATACAATGTTTTGGCATGGCTTAGCACAACTGATCCTCTAACTAAGCTGAAAGAATTGCGAGCAGAGCCTTAAATGTAGAGAAGCAAGACGCACACACATATATGAGAATACATTCAGCAAACACTCCACTTATGGGAGGTTTTAGAAACACTGAGCTCCATTAATCCAGTGTAGGAATGCAGAGTTAGCTCCTTCCCTCCATTCCCATGGCTTCCTGGGCTCTAATGGTTTAACCATTTTATACTCTGCTTCTCCTCTACTGGAATGGAGAGAAGGAAACACACATAGATCCCTCAAGAGAAACACTTCTCACAGCAAACTATTATTCAGCATTGTTTGTCTTTGTTTTCAATTAATTTTACACCTTTTATCTTGATGTTTAGACTCTGCTGCTGACAAAACTACACTGACTTAGTGAAAGACATATCTACCCCCTAATTTACAGTTGGAATCATCATGTGGAATTTAAAAAATGTCAGGGCACAGAGATGACTGTGTCCCAGAGCAAATAGTGATTTATGGATAAGACCTTCGACACTAATTCTCCAACCTCACAGCTGTCTAATTGGGTCTGCCATAATTCACTTGTTGCAACAGTTGCACATTACAGATTAAATCCCTTTCACCTCTCATTTTCAGAAGGAAAACATTTAATCCTAACAGGAAGTTTAGGAAAAGATCTGTGCTTATATTTCATTTCACACCTCAGAAGAACCTCTACCTTACCTATCAATGAACACACACCTGCTTCGATCCCTCTGCCTCATCTGTCTCTCCTGCCTTCCACATGACCAACATTCCTTCCTCTGGTTCAACCTTAACACCCCTCCTCCTCATTCCAAGTTAATAAGAAGCCCACTGTTTCCTGCACTGCTCTCTGTCACTGAAGGTTTTTGCTCTGAGTGGCAACTTCTGCACCTCTGAGAGAGCAGCAAAAAACATGATAATAGAGTCCAAATGCAACCACATGCACAGTATACACTGAAAACCAAAAAAATAATCTCTAAGCTTATTACTTCAATGGCTTATTAGTTTTGATGAACAATTTGGCTGCAACACTCTGATCTCTACTAGTCTCCAAATTAGTCCATTAGTTTATATTAGTTTCTGTTTAATTGATCCTGCAAATCTAATCACGTATTATTAAAATGGAAATACTAGGTGTTAAAAAGAACCTGGAAACATACCAATGAATGGGGGCTCAATGCCCAGACAGTGACCCCAGAAGTCCGGGCAGCAGTCAGAGATGGTTCGGTTGCAGAACAAGTCACAATAGCAGATTGTGTCCAGGTAGGGCACAGTGCAAAGGTCATCTCTGCCAGGGCAGCAACCTCCTCTCCTCTCGCAGTAGGAGCCATGTGGGTCCCTGATGCCGGCAGCATGCAGAGGGCTGGCCAGCTCCCTTTTGGTTCTGCCTGCCGTACCTTTCTTCACAAGCAGGAACAGAACCCACGCAGTCAAAAGAACAACACGCATGATTGATCTGTAAGAAAAGAAATGGAAAGAAAGTATTTCTTAAAAATGTAACTTTTATTTTACCCAAGAATGCTTTTAAGAGCTTGTAATTTAACAGATATTCTTGTAGTCAAACAGATTTAAACTCATTAATTATTCTCCCCTCACATATCCATTGAGTTTTAAGATGACAGAACACACACAGGATTACAAACATTTCACTTCGATATTGGCTAAAAGATTAGAACACATCCTCCCATACATAGTAAAGTCAGACCAAACAGGGTTTATAAAGGAAAGACGAACCAGAGACAATATTAGATGATACAAAAATACATTGCTTTGAGATAAACCGTATTTTGTAAGGAACGTAGCCTTATTTGCAGATGATACCTTAATCTATTTGGCAAAACCTCAGGAATCTCTCCCAGAATTATATAAATCTTTGATGGAGTATGGCAAATTTACTGGTTATAAATTGAACTCCCTCAAATCCTAGGTTTTAATTTTCAAATGTTCGCCTAGTAATAATATTAAAGAAACATTTGAAATAAATTGGGACATGAAATCATGTAAGGGCTGAACACCCTGTCAGGTACAAGCACCTAAAAGATTAGAAAAAAAGGAGACAAAGACATGGGGAAAATTGTTGCTGCTAATTGTGACCCTCTAATGATCAGGATTAAAAATTTCTTATACAGATGGAGTCTTATAGCCTATCTAGGGCTAAGGCATAGAGTAGAGGCCGTCAGAAATGATGTTTGGTTGTTTGGGGTGGTAAATAGCTCCATTGTTTTATATGGGATTTACGGTGCTATGTAATGACGCGTTTCGACACATTTGCTAATTGTATTGATACTGTCACTGAATACTGACCCCTGCTGGACATTTAAAATCACTACAGGCAGTCATTGAGGTGGTACACGAATATAAATACCTTGGAATTGATGATTCCCTCACCTTCAAACCTTTTATTGATAAACTTGTGAAGAAATTAAAAGTTAAACTGGGCTTCTTCTTTTGTAATAAGACATGTTTTTCTTTTGGAGTAAAAAAGTGCCTTGTGTCTGCCACATTTTTATCGGTCTTAGATTATGGTGACCTTTTTTATAAGAATTCTTCTTCTTCATGTCTTTAAATGTTGGACTGTTTTTACCATGCTTCATTAAGGTTCATCATAAACTGTAGAGCCATGACATCACTGTGACCTTTACTCTCAGGTGGGATGGCCTTCCCTCTCTACGAGAAGGCAGTGTCATTGCTACAATTTTATTTACAAGGCCTTTCTTGGATTACTGCCCTCTTACATTTCTACCTTACACAGAAAAGCATGGCTTCTTATCCAACGACCAGCTGTTGCTCACTATTCCTTTTGCCCGCAGAGAACTAGGGAAGAAATCCTTTAGCTACGTAGCTCCTCGTGCATGGAACTTTTTACAAAGAAGCTGGAAGTTGACTGAGTTTTTATCTTTAAATGCTTCTAAGTTGAAAGTGAAAGAATTTAAAGCAGCCTTAATGATCTATAATTGTTTTACTTAATATGTTGTTTTATGTACCTGTCTTTGTATCTCTTTTTTATTATGTAACTTTGCTGCCTCTTGGCCAGGACTCCCTTGATAAAGAGGTTTTAATCTGAATGGGATTTTTTTCCTGGGTAAATAAAGGTTAAACAGGCAGCCTCAGACTAAACTGACACTGATTTGATGACCTATAATATGATTCAAGCTGTTGTTTGCTATAATTTATTATTTCATGTCTATCATTTAAATTAAAAATATGCTTGATTTTGTAGATGGAATCCATAAATGTGAACATACAACAAGAAAATTAATGTGAACATGTGAACTGGGGTGTTTGTGGACTAGGATATATTTATTGAATACAGTAAGAACAGTAAACTAAGAGTCAGTTTGAAATCAATTTGAATTCAGATAAGTTGAGTGATGACTGAGAGGAACAGAATGACTCAACAAGAAAATTAAAACAAATATAAGATCAAAATTGTGTCACTGGTCCCACTGAAACCTCTCTTTTGCTCTGATGCTGCTCAGTATTTTTTGATTAATTTAAAAATACACAGCAAAGGATCAGACATTTTTGCCAGATGCGTTGCATTGACAGATGCGCTTATAAGCACAGGATGTGGAAGGGGAAAAGAAGGGAGAGAAGAGGGTTTAAAAAAAAATCCTCCTTTAAATTGGAAGGAGATAACAAGGAAACGCCTACCACAAAGAATGTAGATAGTAACTGGTAGACTTGAGGTACAAGAAGTTACCTCTATGAATATATATATATGTCCGCCCAAGTTCAGAATGGGCATACATTCTACAAACATATCTTTGATTTGATGATAACTAAATCACGTGGCATAGTAATCTGTGGTGGTGATAACAATGTAAGATTAAACATATTGGAAGACACCTCTAAGCAGCCTTCAATTAATAACAACAAACACACCCACAAAACTGAAGTTGGGGCTAAATCAGCAGTTCATGCTCCAAAAAGAATTAAAAGAGATTTGTCCCTTTTTTCCAGATTTCTCTTTCAAACAACCAAGAAAAGCTTCAGCTAAGTATGAAAATGCACTCAGCTAATAAAGTGTTGGTTAACGGTTGCTAAATGGTAGAAACACAGAGTGCTTTAAAGGGGCTGACAGGTAGCAAGGATCATTGAAGGTGACCATCTCCTCTTTTTACATAGTGTCTTTTTATAAAAAAAAAATGTTTTCTTTTATAATAGTTTATCCAAGGCACAGTTGTTTGAATGTTCTTACATGTTGCTCTTTTTAAGATTGACAGGAATTGATACATTATTTTGTTTTGGATGGACAAGAGAGGGTGTTGGCTTTAATTTTCTGACTGGGTGAGTCAATGCAGACTAGAGGAAATACCCTGCTGCTTACATAAATAGCATTCTCAATTGTAAAATCAAGAATGTGCTCACAATAAACAGTATGCCCATAATAGCCAAGCCGTAACCTCCTGAATGCTTCTTTATTCATCAAATACACACATACAAAAACATAAAAGCGAATGGTGGCCTGGGATGGCAGGAGGCAGCGTCAAAAGCCCCTCAGATTCAAAGTAGTGCAATAAAACACCCACCAGACCAGACTTTCATGGGGAAATTTGTAAAGGTAACCTTCATCACAATAAGGATTCGTTAAAGTATTAAAAATCTTCACCACTGCTATTAGAGAAAATATTTACAAGCATTTTGATACAATATACTTAAAAAGTTCATATCAAGCTTTAAATGTTGTAGATGTTATTATTCCTAATGCAAAAGGCAAATTTATTTTTTTTTCTTTTCTTAGATTAGATTTTTAGATTTTATTAACCTTTTATACATATTTTACATACCTGTTGTTTTTAACATGGAAAATATTACATGATTTCTTTAAAGAAACACAGAAGGTTAATATTTTACTGCCTCCAGTCATTTTGGAACAGATCATCTGGATACAAAACAACTGTCTCTTTATAAGCTGACCCTGTAATTACTGATCAGTCACATCTTATAGGTTTGAAATGCATTAAAAGGAATATAATTCAGATTTTTTTTTTTATGTAGAACAATGCTGTTATCCTGTCTATAAAGGACAGCTCAACCCTTTTCCAGAGCCAACATCTAGCATTTGAAAAAATTGATCTAGAGGAGGTGATGCCTGGCGGACCAAGGAAAATCAAAGTAGGGATGAGAACAGTCTGGGCAAGATTGAAAGATGGATTGACACCGGCAATGACATGGTTTTGAAAGCAACAAACAACGATGGAGAGTGATCACAGTGATGATAGTTTTACAATGGAGCTGTCATTTAAGATGGAGTACTTTCCAGACAGGGGAAACAGATGTTCTACAAAAACAAAGCAGTTAACTAACAGGGAATTATCAGTAATATTATAGGATTTATTGACAAACTATCCACTGATCAAATATAAAATCATCTGCACCTCCTCTTACTCTGTAGAATACAACTCCTTGTTTTTAAAATGTACACAGTGCTGCTTTAACTTCTACTTCAGCCAGATAGACAATAGCTTAGAACATGACCATCAGGAATCTCAAGGAGCTGCAGCTGTAGACATGATACAACACTGTAGTCTAAGCTGTTCCTCGAACTCGCAAAAATCCCCACGTGCCCATTTTTTCTACTTCTAATGCATATGATTTTATAACCCAATATTAAGCTGCCTGTATCCCACACAGGCAACATGATGAAGATATACAGTAATACGTTATTTACTTTAAGGAAGAGTGGTCATGATATATGGCATGGCTGCAGTGGCTAAAATAAATCAGGACATTTTTATGAAATCTTTCTGAAAGAATTCAATTTTTTTTTTGACAAGGCAATTTTTCAACGGTTTTTGTTTGAAATGTTTATATTGCTTTTTTATTGTTTATATTTAGCCATTCAATTTACTTCACCATGGCTTAAATACAAATATTGTAACTAATTCAAACCCATCGTTAGTGAAATTGTAACATTTTCTTTCATTTGTTGAAAACAAAGCTTTATTTCACTCCCACTTGTTTAACAAAAGCTGCCATATGGTTGACCAGAGGTCAGGACAGCTGCTGTAGCCAAGCTACTGCAGCCACAGGGCAGATGGACCCTTCGCACCGACAGCCATTCACACAAATACATGTGTAGGCACATTTTTACCCCACAGAAGCACAGGTTGTTACTGTGCAGAAGGAGTAAAGGTCATAGGTAACATGCCAGACAGTAATTCTTGGCAGCAGAATTACTGTCTGGCACATTCATGGTTTTAAGACTAAATTTCTTTTTAATTTTGATATTTTGAAATGCTTAGAGTTCATTTTTTACAGAATAAGTACTGAAAGCATCATATCAAAATACTCACAACTCTAAAAGAGTAAACATAAAGTATGGTTTTGGTAGATGTTGGTATCCACGTCACTGTTTTACTGTCATTGTTGATACCACAGCAACACCCATGAGATAACTCTCTCTACAGTATCTGGGTAAAAGACTTCCTGACGTTTTTCCAGTCCTTTCTACACCCAGAAAGTAAATAAATCATAGCAGAAAAGACTTGAGTAATATATATTGAGTCATAACTTACACTAAAAGAAGACAGAGTTTAGCAAATGCTTTTAAATCCTTTTACCAGAAGATCTTCATGTAACTTGAGAACAATGTTTGCCATTAAACCTGCGGTTGCACCTGCCTGGGATCAGCCATAACACACAAACCTGCCACAGTAAAGCAAAATCAGTTTTTACCTTTTAATGAAACAGAAATCTGGTGTTTATAATCCAAGAGAAACGCGCAAGGTTTTGTCGTTGCGAGGCTCAGGAAGTCATTCACAGGTAGTGAGAGTTTGAAAGGACAGTCCTCCTTTCTCTTCTTCTTTCGCAGAATCTAATCTGTCAGACTCTGTCTCCTCTATATACAAGCAGCACAGCTAACCACTCCCCCAACACCCCCTACCTCCTCCTCCAGGCCTGGTCCCCTGCTTATTGCTTTCTAACTTTTCCTCTCCCACTCACAGAGTCTCCTTTTTGTTGTTGTCCACTAACTTCTCAGCTTGAATATTAATTTGAAACTTTCTTCACCATATTGTCCAGGAACCTCGTAGTAAAATGCACTAAAGTGCATCTAAATTAATTATGCTTTGAACTCGAATCAGCCTTAAATGTTGCTATTATTTTGTTATGTTGAAGCCTTTCAGAGATTCCATATAGTGGGTTGGTTGCCTACCTATAAGCGGTGGCCAATTATGAAGATATTTAGGATGGAATCCTGATTTTGTGATTTACTTAGTTACACCAAGATTGGTTCCCCTATCAAACTAGGCAGGCCATAATAATATAAAAATTATTAGTTTGTGTATATTTTGCCTTCTGTTTGGGGCAACAATGGCATCGGGTGCAGTAGCTTGCCCTGCAACCGGAGGGTTGTCGGTTCGAGCTCCAGATTTGGCATTTAGTGTTGTTGTGTCCTTGGGTAAGGCACTTCATTTGCATTGTCTACTGATGGTGGTCAGAGGGCCCGGTGGCGCCAGTGTACGGCAGCCTCGCTTCTGTTAATGAGCCCAGGGCAGCTGTGGCTACAATATAGCTTGCCACCATCGGTGAATGAGTGTGCGCATGAATGGGTGAATGACTGAATGTAGTGTAAACTGCTTTGGTCAAGTCTCCTGACTTGAAAAGTGCTATATAAGGACAGGCCATTTACCATTTTTTACCATTTCTGATAGGGAGTGTGGTGGATGTAAAACTGTGTGTGTTTGTGCTGAATGGGTGCATGCAAGTAAATTCGTTGCTTGGAGGTGAACAGTGTTTTGTGTAGTAACCATTTTAGTCATCACACAGTACCCATGAGCTGCAGAGGGTGGTTGATTCAGTTAACACAAGGGCTAACCCCAATGTAGCGATATACCCCACACAAGTAGGTCAGTGAAGCAGAAGAGCAACAGACACAAGGGAAAAGAGGCATCCTGAACCCCTAAAGCTAAAGCTGGCATACGGCTGTGGATTTAAAAAAATTCACATATAGGTTTGGGGGGGAAAAGGATGCTTAAAATTGGACCAAATCGCTGAAGCACATGAGTAAATCTCTTAGATGTAATTGTATTGAGCATCCAAAAAAGCCCTTTTGTTGTTGAGAAAAACAGATGTTTTACAAAATAAAAAACAGTGAATAAACTCAAAAAAGGACTGAAATTACCATTATTATACATTACCATACATAAATGTCTGTCCAAAATCTTAGTCATCAGGGTAATGGCAACTACAAAACAGGCTTTAATCAGAGGCAACTGGACTTTCTGAAGACATTTCAACACCCATCCAGGAGTCTTTGTCAATCCTGTCGACTCGCACTCAAGCTGACAGAACTGGCCGGTTGTATGAGTCTGTATTGATCATACAGACTCATTTTGGCCATCTTTTTTTTAGCAGAGCTTAAGGAAGTGATCGCTAAGCATGGGAGAAACATCTCACATTCGGATTTATGCTGAGAAGAAATATACAATGTTCAAGTTGGATCGGCTGGATTCCCTCACTCTGCGCCATCCTCTGTGTCTTCTTTATCTCTGACTCTGAAATCTTATCTTCACCTCTTACACTAGAATAATTTTCCACATCCTCTCTCATTTCTTCTGCTGTTGCACTTTAAGTGGCCTCCTTTACCCTTCTGGTCTCTGTATCAATCCTCTTTCCTCAAATCCCAGTCTTTTCTTATTTCTTATCCTTCAAATTTTTGCCATAGACACTAAAAAAGTCTCTACTTTTAATTTCCTTTTAATCTACAATGTAAAGCTATCAAGATTAGAAAGAATTTGCCCAATTATTAAGGCAAGAGGTCTATAATGATAAGAACCCAGATATTATTCATCACATTCTCACAGGTCAAACTAGCAGTTCTATTTAGAAATGTTGCTCACATAGTAGCCGATTTAGTTTTTTGTTAATAGCACATATGGGAGGACACAACACTAAAAGCCGGAGCTGGGCCTTGAACCATCAGCCCTTCGATTTCAGGGCAAACTCTGACATACAGCCGACGCCACTGTCACCCCCATGGTGAGCGAATCCCTGGTGTAGCTCATCAGGAGTGAAAGATGACTTTCACACCTTGTGAGCGACTCTTAAAAGTGAAGGAGGAGGAATGCCCCATGACCCTGCCAGAGACCCTCTTGCAATCCACACAATCCCAGTGGAAACAGAACAGATGAGGAGGCTAGAACAAGCTCCCTACCATATTTGCATGTATGTTTTTGATAATGTTAAATTATGTAGTGGATGCAGGTGTGCATATCTAAGATGCATAGAAATGAAAATTGTGGCTGGGATGTGCGAGACCCCATTTGACTGCTTTAACCCCTAATGGAGAGTGCTGCTGACTACTGCTCCTTCTCTTGGAAGCAGGTTGCATGAACTCGTCCAGCCTGGAAACACGTGGATAAATTGCAGGAGATCCCTCAAGCTTCTAGAAACATACAAACAACCCCCTGGAGATAAAGCTTTGGCAGAAGCCAAAATACTCTGAATGCTTGAAATTCTATGACTGTTTATCCTCTGCATGATCGATTAATGTGAATCTGTTTATATCATCAGCCTCTGCTTTATTCTCCCCTTATTTCTCCGGGTGCATTTAGTAAAATTTGTAAACCGTGAAAATCTTTAAATTACCAGGCTTAATAGGATGGAAACAAATTCATGTGCATTGTATTTTAGTAATTTTGATGGTAACCTTTATAACACGCAAGATTAATTTCTCTTGCATTTCTGTAAAAGTTGATAAACGGCAGTTATCATGTTAATCCTTAAAATAAATAAAAAATTAGCTTGAGTCAAACGCTGTTTTCTGGATGTTATTGATTGATTCAGGGGAGTAACATGGCGCTGAGGGGAGACACAGCTGAGTGCCCCCTGCCCCCCTTTGCTCTATCAAAAAGCTAAAAGCTGAATCGATAAAGGAGACAGCAGGGTGTCAGACTGGGTGTGGTTGGACAATAAGGGGGGGATTAAAGGAAAAACATGTCACTGACCACACAAAGGGATCCACTAAATATATTGGTCTGATATTAACTCAGACTTAACTTTTCTTGTTATACCTGGTGTTATTTTAATTGGGCATATGAGAACATTAAGAGAATTTTTTTATTTTATTCTTTAGTCTTAATCTAGAAGTTTGATGAATGCAACTAAGATTAACTTCTGTAATTTATAATTTGTGAGAGCCTGGATGATGATACAGTTCACAGCATTTCATTTGAACTGAAGCACATCTTACATGTGTGACATCATGGAGGAAAGTAACTGCTCTGGGAGAGATATCACAAAGAGAGCTGAATGCCTCCACTTTCTGCTTTCGAGATGCCTTCAGGTGCCTGTTCAAACGTTTACATGGGATGTCCAGAGAAACAGTTAAAAAAAAATCTTTCTCAAACTGACATTTCAGTGAAAAATGTGTATAAAGATCCTGGAACAAAACTAACTAACAGTAACAGTAAAGCTGCTAGCTGAAAACACTAAGAAAGTTACTCAAAAAGCTTTGTAGAAAAACATTACAGTTTTTGTACGCAGCTCAAAGGGACACATATTGTATGAGAGTTTCTAGAAACATGTCATGTGGTCTGATGAAAGTGATATTGATGTGTTTGGCCCTAATGATCATTGTATCATTTGGAAGAAAAAGAGGGGAGCTTCAGGCCTAAGAACACCATCCCAACTAAAGTATGGGTGAGGCAACATCAGGTGGGACTGGTTCATTTCACAAAACAGATGACATCATGGAGAAAGAACCTGATGTGGAAATATTGAAGCAAGAGCTAACAACATCAACCAGCAAGTTAAAGCCTGGTCTTCCAAATAGGAAATTATATTAGGATTACTGCCAAATTAGCTGCAAAATACTTTAAAGACAACATAGTCCCCATTTCAGGTTTTCCATTAAAAACACTGATTTCTTTCACGTTTGCAAATTTATATATTTATATTAAAGAGAAATGCATTTATTTTTTGTTGCACATTTTATTATAAATGAGATTATGAATAAATTATCTATGACGTCCCTTGTAATGGTAACTCCAAAACATTCATTGAAATTAATCCCATTTAAAATAGAAAGGACATAACTACTAGTAAAGTTCATGTATATAAAGTTAATGTTGTATTTTGTTATTAGAAAATGAACTTGGATGTGAGTCTCAGGTGTTTAATAATACATTTTGCAGCACTTTTGAGGGAAAAAAATTGTTTTTTCCCCCCCTACATCTATCAGTCATCTGCCTTATTCAAAACATGCTTAAATTACACAACAGACATGAAATGTTCTCAGACAATTGCTAGGTAATACCAGCGAAAAACTGAGCTCTTCTAGAAAACAGGTTTGCTTTTCATACAAGTCTATAATTACGGCTGTTACAAGTCTTACACAACCTTGTTCCTCCTGAAACAAGGCGCCCTGAGCTATCTTTACAGTGTTCAAATGTCATCAGACTCTCCATCATTATTTTCCGTAACTATATGTCAGTCATTTAACACACAAAGGGCTTTGCATATTTACTGGCATCAAGGCAAGGCACCTCCAGAGAAGAATAGTGATGATGTTCTTTTAACAGTAAAAACACAGGAATGCAAAGGCGTGTTTGAAGGTCTGAAGACCCTTGGAAACAAATAAATGACCCCTGAATCAGAGAAAATAGCACATGAGCAAGTTTGCGTGACTCATATATAAGTCATTGAAGACGAATAGACTGAATCATTTTGGATGATGTTGAATTTTGAAGTCTGTTTTACAACATGAGTAGGCGGTCTGTCACAAGACATGTATGGGTGTACATTTAATGTGCAGGCTTGGCCCAGGCTACAGTGACTCAGATCTTTTTCCTGACCTCTATGTTAACCAGAGCAGAGGGATCTGTCTGATATCAGCTATCACTGCTTCTGTTAGTGAGGTAATTCATGAAAAATAGACTGAACTTAGTGCCTGGGGACAGGAATGGCCACAACAGAGTCTTGACATAAAGAAAGTTTTGTCAGACGGCACGCTCCAAAAAAAGCTACACAATCAGACACTCACACACAAAAGTGTGCACTCTTAAAGGTCAGCACATTTATATTTGGTTAATATTTAGAGCGTATCATGGGGGGAAAAAAGGAGCATTGAATTTAAACTGATAGCTGTGTATCAGTCAGATATACACACTGTCATTCTGAAGAACAATCGTTCTCTTTTTGTGAAGCATTGCATCACAATCGTCCCATGATGCTACAAGGCAGAGGCCGGGAACTCCAGCTGCAGCATGTCAGGGTGGAGGTCTGCTTCCTACACTCCTCAGAGGAGACGGCACATGTCCATCCTTACGCCTCTGGAGGTTTTTGTGTTCCTGGAACATGCAGGACGTGTGCAGCTGATAGTAAACAAGGAGCTGATGGAGGGAAGACTGCATTACCAATGTGGATGTTTTCAAGGTAGCTACCAGGAAAAACACCCACATGTTCATTTTGATGAGAAGCTCAGACATTTGGGAGAAAATCTTTGTACTGTTCGTTCTTCTCTGCAGCAGGAATGTTGACATTTGGGGTTTTGCTCTGAAGAGAAGTTTACATGATCCAAAGAAAATAACTCAAATAAAAATTGTATTATGGAAACCCAGAGACAAAAACATCCACCTTAAAATTTCAATGTAAATCAAGTTTTGCCATTATAGTTAAAATGCTTTGTCACATTTTGATTTGATCACTTTTTGAAATTTTGATTTTTATATTATTTTGAAAGAAACCACAGTGCCCTGAGGAAAACTCCCACAGAAAATGTTGGCCTGGCCCAGACTTTATCCCAGGAAGTTTTTGCTGTTCCACAATCAACAGATTTTACAAAAAAATAGGTAAGTATCTCAAAAGCAGGGAAGTTCAAGGATCATAACTTATTGATATGTTTGGCGATGGTCTCAGCTGTGATTGAGTTTTGCAACAGAGTGGTCACATAAAGTGGAGGGTTTTTTATCACTTGAGATGTAGGAAATGGAGGCAAACAGGAAGGTTTTGTGGATAATTTCTTTAAGGGTGAGGTCACAATAACTTTAGAACCAACAACAAAACTTGGGGAGGGTGTAGACAGCATTATAAAATATTATGTATAAGGTTTAGTTGGAAAAAAATATTTGGGGTGATTGGTACTTTAAGCATGGCCAGTCCCTTTATTCGTCAAATCCATGAAAATAGTGGATATTTTAATCTCTTTACCCCTTCATATTCAAAAGTAGCCTAAAGAAACATACTCAAAGTCAAATAACTTAATGACACTAAATGGAAACGAAACGAATGACTAAGAAAACACAGCAGCCCATACAGGTGCTGGTCATAAAATTAGAATATCATGAAAAAGTAGATTGATTTCAGTAATTCCATTTAAAAAGTGAAACTTGTATATTATATTCATACATTACATAAAAACTCATATATTTCAGATGTTTATTTTGTTTAATTTTGATGATTACAAATGACAACAAATGAAAATCTCAAATTCATCATATCAGAAAATTAGAATATTGTGAAAAGGTTCAAAATTGATGGCCCCTGGTGCCACACTCTAATCAGCTAATTAACTCAAACCACCTGCAAAAGCCTTTAAATGGTCTTTCAGTCTAGTTCTATAGGCTACACAATCATGGGGAAGACTGCTGACTTGACAGTTGTCCAAAAGACGACCATCGACACCTTGCACAAGGAGGGCAAGACACAAAAGGTCATCGCTAAAGAGGCTGGCTGTTCACAGAGCTCAGTGTCCAAGCACATTAATAGAGCGGCGAAGGGAAGGAAAAGATGTGGTCGAAAAAAGTGTACAAGCAAGAGAGATAACCGCACCCTGGAGAGGATTGTGAAACAAAACCCCTTCAAAAATGTGGGGGAGATTCACAAAGAGTGGACTGCAGCTGGAGTGAGTGCTTCAAGAACCACCACACACAGACGTATGAAAGACATGGGTTTCTGCTGTCGCATTCCTTGTGTCAAGCCACTCTTGAACCACAGACAGCGTCAGAAGCGTCTTGCCTGGGCTAAAGAGAAACAGGACTGGACTGCTGGTGAGTGGTCCAAAGTCATGTTCTCTGATGAAAGTAAATTTTGCATTTCCTTTGGAAATCAAGGTCCCAGAGTCTGGAGGAAAAGAAGAGAGGCACTTCATCCACGTTGCTTGAAGTCCAGTGTAAAGTTTCCACAGTCAGTGATGGTTTGGGGTGCCATGTCATCTGCTGGTGTTGGTCCATTGTGTTTTCTGAGGTCCAGGGTCAACGCAGCCACATACCAGGAAGTTTTAGAGCACTTCATGCTTCCTGCAGCTGACCAACTTTTTGGAGATGCAGATTTCATTTTCCAACAGGACTTGGCACCTGCACACAGTGCCAAAGCTACCAGTACCTGGTTGAAGGACCATGGTATCCCTGTTCTTAATTGGCCAGCAAACTCTCCTGACCTTAACCCCATAGAAAATCTATGGGGTATTGTGAAGAAGAAGATGCAATACACCAGACCCAACAATTCAGAATTCTAATTTTATGACCAGCACCTGTAAATAAAAGTTGAACTGAAGACCCAAAGTAAAAACTTGAACAGAACAAAAACTCCAGATCAGGAGATGATGACCCTATGATGTCATTACAGTGTCGTACAAGCAGGCAGCCCGATTCAGCAGCTTAAACTCAGACCTGAGTTCTCTTAAACAATCATTTAGGTGAACCTGAAATTTCACCATTTTGTCTTTTTTAACCATTGCATAAACGCAAGAGATGATTGTGCATGAAAATACCAGTTGATCAGCAGTTTTTGTAAAAGTAGAACCAGTAACCATGTCACATAAAGGTCACTTAACGTCCTTGCTTACACTGGCGTAACCTTCTGAAGAACTGGTGTGGACATGTCCCCACCAACTTTGGGCATGGAGGGGACAGTCCCCACCAACTTTGGGCATGGAGGGGACATGTCCCCACCAATAATTTCCACTTTTTTCCCCCTTTTCCATTGATTTACTTTAGCCAACAGTAACTGTGCTTGAGAGCAGCTAACTGTGTTATGGTTCCTATTTGTTGTTACTCTGAGTTTTCTGTTATCAGTTGTTTTGTTTTTATTTTCCATTATCTTCAAGCATTCTTTAGTTACTCTCTGTTGCCCCCTTGTGATTGTTTTCTTTTCCCTTGGATTCCCTCTTGCCAGTTCCACCCACACCTGCTCCCCATTCAGCTCGTTAGTCCTTCCTTTGTTTGGTTGTCCTTAAATACTCCACCTCTGCAGTCACTCAGTGCTGGTTCCTTCTTGTTGCTGTGTTGTCTACTCGGCTCGTCTCTACCCTGATGTCTCCATGATTTTGGTTTGTTTTTTATTTTGAGTTGGATTTCTGGATTTCTGCCTCGGCTGCTTTTTGGTCTTCAATTAAACCTTTCAGAACACATCCCTGCTTCTCTTGTCTCTGCATCTGGGTCCTCAAAGCAACCTCACCACCCACTGTTGACAGAAGGAACCAGCCAACATGGACCCAGCAGAGGCAAACTTGGCAGGAAGCATGACACACTTCCTGGAGAACTGTCGTTTCACGCTGGACAGGATTGCCACTCTCAGCCCTCCTTGGAGACGGGTATGTGCTGCAGCCGACCTTAAAAGGATTTTAACCCCCCAAACAACTCTCCTTTCATCCCTAGGGTTTCTGGACATTTTAGAAGAGGTGGAGTGGAATCACAAGGCTGCTTTAGCTCAGCTTTTTAATAAACCTCCACCACCTCAACCTCAATCACCTGCAGCGGCTGCCTGCTCAACCTCTCCATTAGTTCCTTCCACTTCTCCCTCAGCTTCTACAGACTCTCCTCTGCCAACTGCTCCCTCCAGGCGTAAGCGTCGCCGGGGGAAGAAGTCCACGGCGGGTCTGCCTGACGCCTCCACTCCCTCTCCGGCGGGTCAGCCTGACGCCTCCACTCCCTCTCCGGCGGGTCAGCCTGACGCCTCCACTCCCTCTCCGGCGGGTCAGCCTGACGCCTCCACTCCCTCTCCGGCGGGTCAGCCTGACGCCTCCACTCCCTTTGGTCAGCCAGCTGCTAGCCTTAGCTTCCCCCATAACCAGGTCAGTGTCTCCCATAGTCTCAGTCGTCACCTCTATGACAAACAGCTAGTCCCATCTTCAAAAAAACTCAAACCAGGTCCACGTATTACACCCCCTGCAGTTAGAGCTCCCCATATTGAGGAGTCTCAGTTAAGACACTACTTTTATGGGGAGAGGGAAGATTTTTTTCCTTTCCTGCCACCTCCTTCAGTTCCTAGCCAGCCAGTTTCCCTAGCTCCAGTCCCCCTTAGCGGGCCTGTTTCCCTAGCTCCAGTTCCCCTTAGCGGTCCTGTTTCCCTAGCTCCAGTCCCCATTAGCGGTCCTGTTTCCCTAGCTCAAGCTTCCCCAGTGCCTGTGCCCATTAGCGGTCCAGCTTCCCCAGTGTCCATTAGCGGGGCAGCTTCCCCAGTGCCTGAGCCCATTAGCGGTCCAGCTTCCCCAGTGCCTGTGCCCATTAGCGGTCCAGCTTCCCCAGTGCCTGTGCCCATTAGCGGGGCAGCTTCCCCAGTGCCTGTGCCCATTAGCGGGGCAGCTTCCCCAGTGCCTGTGCCCATTAGCGGGGCAGCTTCCCCAGTGCCTGAGCCCATTAGCGGGGCAGCTTCCCCAGTGCCTGAGCCCATTAGCGGGTCAGCTCCCCCAGTGCCTGAGCCCATTAGCGGGTCAGCTCCCCCAGTGCCTGAGCCCATTAGCGGGTCAGCTCCCCCAGTGCCTGAGCCCATTAGCGGGTCAGCTCCCCCAGTGCCTGAGCCCATTAGCGGGTCAGCTCCCCCAGTGCCTGAGCCCATTAGCGGGTCAGCTCCCCCAGTGCCTGAGCCCATTAGCGGGCCGTTTTGCCTAGCGCCAGAGACTCCTGAGCCCATTAGCGGGCCGTTTTGCCTAGCGCCAGAGACTCCTGAGCCCATTAGCGGGTTGTTTTGCCTAGCGCCAGAGACTCCTGAGCCCATTAGCGGGCCGTTTAGCCTAGCGCCAGAGACTCCTGAGCCCATTAGCGGGCCGTTTAGCCTAGCGCCAGAGACTCCTGTGGCCATTAGCGGGCCGTTTAGCCTAGCGCCTGGGACCCCTGAGCCCGCTCAGAGTCATCCTGATATCCCTGAGCACACAAGTAAAAGGCTCTCTAAAATAAAGCTAAGCGGGCGCTCCAAGCCTCCACGGCCCCTCAGCGGGCGCTCCAAGCCTCCACGGCCCCTCAGCGGGCGCTCCAAGCCCCCTCTGAGGCTGTTCCAGTGCCGCAGTCGGCGGCCCCCTCTGAGGCTGTTCCAGTGCCGCAGTCGGCGGCCCCCTCTGAGGCTGTTCCAGTGCCGCAGTCGGCGGCCCCCTCTGAGGCTGTTCCAGTGCCGCAGTCGGCGGCCCCCTCTGAGGCTGTTCCAGTGCCGCAGTCGGCGGCCCCCTCTGAGGCTGTTCCAGTGCCGCAGTCGGCGGCCCCCTCTGAGGCTGTTCCAGTGCCGCAGTCGGCGGCCCCCTCTGAGGCTGTTCCTGTGCCGCAGTCGGCGACGGCGTCCCCCAAGGTTCCTGCAGCTGCGTCTGAGACGGCGTCCCCCAAGGTTCCTGCAGCTGCGTCTGAGACGGCGTCCCCCAAGGTTCCTGCAGCTGCGTCTGAGACGGCGTCCCCCAAGGTTCCTGCAGCTGCGTCTGAGACGGCGTCCCCCAAGGTTCCTGCAGCTGCGTCTGAGACGGCGTCCCCCAAGGTTCCTGCAGCTGCGTCTGAGACGGCGTCCCCCAAGGTTCCTGCAGCTGCGTCTGAGACGGCGTCCCCCAAGGTTCCTGCAGCTGCGTCTGAGACGGCGTCCCCCAAGGTTCCTGCAGCTGCGTCTGAGACGGCGTCCCCCAAGGTTCCTGCAGCTGCGTCTGAGACGGCGTCCCCCAAGGTTCCTGCAGCTGCGTCTGAGACGGCGTCCCCCAAGGTTCCTGCAGCTGCGTCTGAGACGGCGTCCCCCAAGGTTCCTGCAGCTGCGTCTGAGACGGCGTCCCCCAAGGTTCCTGCAGCTGCGTCTGAGACGGCGTCCCCCAAGGTTCCTGCAGCTGCGTCTGAGACGGCGTCCCCCAAGGTTCCTGCAGCTGCGTCTGAGACGGCGTCCCCCAAGGTTCCTGCAGCTGCGTCTGAGACGGCGTCCCCCAAGGTTCCTGCAGCTGCGTCTGAGACGGCGTCCCCCAAGGTTCCTGCAGCTGCGTCTGAGACGGCGTTCCCCAAGGTTCCTGCAGCTGCGTCTGAGACGGCGTTCCCCAAGGTTCCTGCAGCTGGGTCTGAGACGGCGTTCCCCAAGGTTCCTGCAGCTGCGTCTGAGACAGTGTCGCCGGTGTCCTCCAGAGGCCCTCCTCCGTCCTCCAGAGGCCCTCCTCCGTCCTCCAGAGGCCCTCCTCCGTCCTCCAGAGGCCCTCCTTCGTCAGAGACGGCGTCGCCGCCGGCGTCCTCCTGGGGCCCTCCTTCGTCAGAGACGGCGTCGCCGCCGGCGTCCTCCTGGGGCCCTCCTTCGTCAGAGACTGCGTCGCCGCCGGCGTCCTCCTGGGGCCCTCCTTCGTCAGAGACTGCGTCGCCGCCGGCGTCCTCCGGGGGCCCTCCTCCTTCGTCAGAGACTGCGTCGCCGCTGGCCTCCTCCAGAGGCCCTCTTTCGCCGCCGGCCTCCTCCAGAGAGCCTCCTTCGTCAGAGACTGCGAGGCCGTTGCCGTCCTCCTGATTTTCTGCCTGGCCTCGGGCCCCACGGCCGGCCTCCAGAGACTCTGTCACCTCGCCTCCGGCCCCACGGCCGGCCTCCAGGGACTCTGTCACCTCGCCTCCGGCCCCACGGCCGGCCTCCAGAGACTCTGTCACCTCGCCTCCGGCCCCACGGCCGGCCTCCAGAGACTCTGTCACCTCGCCTCCGGCCCCACGGCCGGCCTCCAGAGACTCTGTCACCTCGCCTCCGGCCCCACGGCCGGCCTCCAGAGACTCTGTCACCTCGCCTCCGGCCCCACGGCCGGCCTCCAGAGACTCTGTCACCTCGCCTCCGGCCCCACGGCCGGCCTCCAGAGACTCTGTCACCTCGCCTCCGGCCCCACGGCCGGCCTCCACAGACTCTTTCTCCTCCCCGGCCACACGGCTGAATTCTAGAGACTTTAGGTTGCCCTCGCCCACCTTTTGTGGGTTGTTTTGTTTTGTGTTTCTTGCCCTCCTTCCTGGTTTCCCCCTCCGCCCATCCTGGGTGGGTTGTTTTGTTTTGTGTTTCTTGCCCTCCTTCCTGGTTTCCCCCTCCGCCCACCCTGGGTGGGTTGTTTTGTTTTGTGTTTCTTGCCCTCCTTCCTGGTTTCCCCCTCCGCCCACCCTGGGTGGGTTGTTTTGTGTTTGGGCTCCAAGAGTGTCTGGTATCCGCCCTTGAGAGGGGGTACTGTTATGGTTCCTATTTGTTGTTACTCTGAGTTTTCTGTTATCAGTTGTTTTGTTTTTATTTTCCATTATCTTCAAGCATTCTTTAGTTACTCTCTGTTGCCCCCTTGTGATTGTTTTCTTTTCCCTTGGATTCCCTCTTGCCAGTTCCACCCACACCTGCTCCCCATTCAGCTCGTTAGTCCTTCCTTTGTTTGGTTGTCCTTAAATACTCCACCTCTGCAGTCACTCAGTGCTGGTTCCTTCTTGTTGCTGTGTTGTCTACTCGGCTCGTCTCTACCCTGATGTCTCCATGATTTTGGTTTGTTTTTTATTTTGAGTTGGATTTCTGGATTTCTGCCTCGGCTGCTTTTTGGTCTTCAATTAAACCTTTCAGAACACATCCCTGCTTCTCTTGTCTCTGCATCTGGGTCCTCAAAGCAACCTCACCACCCACTGTTGACAAACTGTGTTCAGAGCGTTTTCAGTCCGTGTTTTTTCGTTGCTCTCCCGATGCGCTCGAGTCCCACCTCTCAGTGAAATAATATCAGATCAGTCGCTTTGGGACATAATATTATTTGGAGTCACATTTCACTGCGTAGAGAGTAGCTACATGGAGGAGGAGAGACACAGCAGCACTCAGTGATTATTAAACAGAAGCTACTTCGATATATGTTTCAGTAAAAGTTAGGAGACTGGTTGGTTAAAATAATTAGAGATGCCACCGAAAAATCAGTTTCTTACACATATGGAGCTTTTTCAGCTAAAAACAAGATCTTACACGGACCTCAATAAGTGGACTTTAAAACCGCTGCTGCCTGGAAATACTTTAGGATCCAAAAATAATACACAGGATATTATTGATGGAGGGTGGAAGGTCTTGAGCTATAAGTTTTTTTTTTATATAA